GTCCCCAAGTCCATCGGGGTCGCGATGACGTCCGGGTACGTCGGGATGTTCAGCGCGACGATATCCACGGGCTTGTGGAAGATCTCGTCCTCGTCCGCGTTGAGAAGCCGCGTGAGAACCTCCTCCGCGGTGATCCGCCAGTCGTTCTTCCCGTCCCACGACGACGCCGCCGCAGACGCCGCGTCCGCGTCGTCGCACGCGTCCGGCTTGAATCGCTTTCGCATCTTCGCCGCGGACCACCCGTCGTAGTCGTCCGCGACGACGTTGCCGTCCGCGTTGTACTTGGCGTTCCTCCTCGCCGCGGTGTCGGCTTTGCGTTTCAAGCGCGCCGCCTCCTCCGCGGCGAGCTCGGACTTGAGCCGTTCCTCGCGCGCCCTGTCGTTGGCGCGTCTCTTCATCGCGTCTTGTTCCTTCTTTCTCGCTTGCGCGTCCACGTAACCGGATACGGGGATGTCGTGGAGGCCCCCGGGCGCCGCCGCCTCCGCCGCCGCGGCCGTGGCAGCGTGGTGCGCCGCCGCCGCGTGCGCCGCCGCCTGTTTCATCGCGTCGTTCGCGCCCTGGACGCGCCCTGAAAGGTTCCCAGCCCCGCCGAGGCCGTGGAGGCTGGCGCCGCCGGGAGTCCACGCCGCCGCGGCCAATCGCGCCCTCACGGTGGCGGCGACGTGGTCGTTCGCCGCACCCGCCGAAAGCGCCGCAGACTGAGACTGCGCTGCTGACCCCCCGTGATGAATGACCGTCTCGCGATCGCCGCCCATCGCCTCGAACGCGGCGAGCTGCTCCTTCAGCGTCGCCGCGTGCCCCCGCTCCGCCGCCGCCGCCGCCGCCGCCGCCGCGGGCGCCCCCGGGTCCGCCGCCGCCGCCGCCGCCGCCGATCGGGTCCCGAGCCCCCTGCTCTCGATCTCGCTCATCACCGCGCGATGTTTCTGCAGCGACAGCTCCGCCGCTCTCGCCTTGGCCGCGTACGACGCGAGCTCGGGCTTGAGCAGCGCGACGAGCGCGGCCTGCTCGTCGTCGCGCGCCGCAATGAGCGTCGCCTCGGCCACGCGGTGCGCCTGAAGCTCCGCGAGCTGCGCGGCGTGGACGACGTCCCGCAGCCGCACTTCCTCGTTCACGAGCTCGCGATTCACGCGCTCCTCGAGCCCGAAATTCTGCTCGAGCGCTTGCCGCCCGAGGCTCGCGGCGAGTTGCGCGAGCGCGTTTTGACCGCCGACGCCGAGCGCCGCCATGAGCTCCGCGGGGTTGAGGCTGAGAGTAATTGTCCATACGAGCGAACGTCGGGGTGGAGTTGAAAGGCGTCAGAAGCGGAGTTGAAAGGTGTCGAGGTGTGTCGGGATTGAAACCGAGGTGTGGGCGGAGAGAGACGGTGGCAAAAGTCCTTAAGGATCGGCGTTCACAACGCCGACGAGGTCGTATGGGAACCAGTGTGAGATAGAACGCGCCCGCCGTTTTGCGCCGCCGCGCCCATGGCGGCCATCATCTCCGCGGCGCCCAAGCCGGCGATGGAGGACCCCGGGCCCCCCGCGGACATGTTACCCGCACCCGCGGCCGATAGCCCTGGTTTATGGATGCCCTGGGCGGTGTGGGACGCGAACGACGCCGCCGCGGTCGCGGCGTTCGCGGCGACGATGTTCGCCGCGTTCGCTGCCGCGAAAAACGCGGCGTTTGCGTTTTTTCTCGCCGCCGTCGCGCCGACGCCGATGCCCGCGCCGCCGCCGCCGTCGAGGCCGAGGCTGCCGAGGCTGCCGAGGCCGCCGCTCGCGGCGGCCGCGGCGGCGTACGCCGCGAGGTTCTCGCGCGCGGACGCCGCGCCGGCGGCGGCGCCCGCGGCCGCGGCGATCGCGCCCGCGTCCAGGTCTCCGACGGAGGTGAGATGCTGATGACCTCGACCGCGATTCTGCTGCTGCTGCTGCAGCTGGCTCGGGGGGTGTACGACGCCGTGCGTCGCGGCCGAGGGTGCCGCGGGTGCCGAAGGGTCGTCCGCCGCCGCCGATCCGTCGTGGCGCGCGACGAGCGACGACGACGCGCTTCCCAGGGTCTCCTTCAGCGTCGTGCGCTTCTTCTCCCCGTCCGCGGGCCGTCGCGCGCCGGCGAACACGCCCGCGTAGTCGGATGCGACGACGCCCGGCGCGTTCGCGCGCGCGCCGGCGACGTCGTCGACGAGATCTGGATTTTCATCACCGACGCCGGCGGGAACCCCTACGACCCCAGCCTCGGCGCGCTCGCGAGACGGCGCGACGGTCGCTCTTTCCGCGATCGACGGCGGTTCCGCGGTGACCGCGGTGGTCGCGTCGGCGGTCCGCACGCCTTCGCTCGCGTCCGCGCCCGTCGCGCGATCCGCCGCGCCGCGTGGGTGTTGCTCGATCGCCGAACCTGGAAGTTTCCCCCCCTCGCGCTCGGGCGCGTCCGCGGCGGCCGCGGGGGCCGCGCGCGCCTCCTCGCCGTTCCACGCCGCGAGCGACGGCATGCGCTGCAAGGGCGATTCCGGTCTCGGTTCGCCGCCCTGATCCGTCATGTCGCGGGTCGCGCGCGCGGAATGCCGCGGCGGACGACGAAGGGTGTTCATGTGGACACCCTCACCGAAGTTTCCAGAAGTCGCGTCGCGTCGCAGAAAAAAAAAATGCGCGCGATGACGCCGCCAGATCGTCATGCACCCCCACGCGCGCGGTCCCCGGCACAGCCGGCGTCTTCGGACGTCGCGCGAGGCGAGAGGCCCCGCGGTGTGCCTCCTCTGCTCGCTCGTCACCGCGATCACCATGGTGTTGATCCTCGCGCGAATGACGTACACGCGCGCGAGGGAGCACCACGAGGTGGCCGCGATGTTCGACGCGGGGCGCGAATCCGCGGCGCGATCGGCCAACATCGCGCGCCCCGCGGGCGGCGGTCTCGGCGGCGTCAACAAAAATCCGAACCTCGACGCGCGCGGCCGTCCCCGCGACCCGGCGTTCTTGATGTGCGGCGCCGCGGACGACATGTGGAACGTGGAGTACGGGGGCGACGTCGTCGCGACGCCGGACGTCAGCGCGGCGGCCGCGCCCGGAAACATCATCAGAACCCCCACCGAGTGCTGCATTCGGTGCGCGAAGACGAAAGGATGCAACCTCTACGTGTTCGGCGGCGAGGGCAGACGCGGGACGCCGGAGGGGATGAAGTGCTGGCTGAAGCACACGCACGACCCGAAGCATCCGGTCGTGCGCGCGGAGGGCGAGGACGTCGGGTGGACGTCGGGCGCGCTGATGAAAGATTACGACGCCGGCGCCAGCCCCGGCGCGGGAGCCGGCGGCGGCGGCGGGGATCGAACCGGCAGCGGCGGAGACGTCGTCGTCCCCGGCGCGGTCGCGCTCGATACCCCCGCGGGCCGGATCGAGATCGAGCTCATGCCGGGCTGGCACGCGGCGTCGGTCGCGCACGTCGCGCGGCTCGCTCGCGAACGCGGCTCGTGCGAGAACAGCTGCCACCTCTATCGCGCGGAGCCCGGGTTTCTGTTGCAAGGCACGCTGAAGAGCTTCTCGGTGAGGCCGAACGAAGAGACGAAGCGCGGGCCGAAGGTGATGGAACGCGGCGAGATCGGCTGGGCCGGCGAGGGCGCCGGCCCGGACTTCTTCGTCTACCTCGGCGACCGACCCGCGACGCACTGGGGGACGGGGCACACGGTGTGGGGTAAGGTGACGGACGAGTGGAGCTTACGCGTGGCGGACGCCATCGTGAACGGGCCGTCGCACACGCCGGGGGGGGAAGGGACGATGCGGTTTCTGAAGGACTTCATGTACTTCGACGTCGTGGAGAGCGAACGGCCGCCGCCGCCGTCGTCGTCGTCGTCGTCGTCGTCGTCGTCCGTCGGCGGCGGCGGCGACGTTTGAAAAGAACGAAACGTAACGAAACGAAAGAGTAGCGATACGGAAACGTAGCATCCATTCGACGCGCGTTCCTACTACTGTACCGCACCGTATCCTACCAAGGCACCACCGCTACGCTATCCTCACGCACTGCTTCGCGCCCTCGTACTCCGGCGCGCGCAACCCGAACTCCTCCTTCATCCGCGGCGGCACGAACCGCCCGCCGAGAAAATGATGCGCGCCCGCGAACGCCGTCGCGCCAATCTTCGGCGCCGTCAGCGAGACCAACGTCTCCGGCCGCATCCCGTCGCCGAATACGTCGCCGTCGTCGACGTCCCACCCGGACGGGATGTCCACCGCGACGATCGGCGGCGGCGACGCGCGCTGGTGCAGCAGCGCGAGGAGCGCGTCGAACGGCGCGCGAGGCGCGCCGGCGAAGCTGAAACCGAACATCGCGTCGACCGCGACGTCGTGCGTCTCTCTCAGCGGCGGCGGCGGCGCCGCGCCGCCGCCAACTAACGCGTCCGCGCTCACGAACGTCACCCCGAGGGTCTCGCACTGCGTGACGAGGCCTTCGTACAACGCCTTCCCCGGCGACCTCTTGGGGTAACAGACGGAGACGTCGTACCCGAAGTGCGTCAGGTGCCTCGCCGCGACGAGGCCGTCGCCGCCGTTGTTGCCCGGGCCGGCGATCACGAGGACGCGCGGGTGGGTCTCGGGCGGGTACGTCTCGCGAATCGCGCTCGCGACGGACAGGCCCGCGAGCTCCATGAGCTGGTCGATGCTGAAGCCGTACTTCGGGGACATGAGCTCCTCGTCGATCCGCTTCGCCTCGGACGAGGAGACGTGCGTCGTCGTCGCGGCGGTGGCGCGCGACGAGGGTTCCGTCGTCGTCGCCATCGTTCTGGTTTGTTCGTCGGAAGAAGAGAACGACGACGACGACGACGACGACGACGACGACGCTCGGGAGACGCGGGGCGGGGCGAGCCGTCGACGCGACGCGTCGCTGAGGGATGCGATGGAGGTGGGGACGACGCGTGCGCGCGCGATGGAGACGACCGCGGCGCCGCGCATCGACGCCGGCGTCGGGGAGGAGTGCGATCTCGAGGCCCGTCCGGTCGGATATCGCTTTCTTTTTCTGTTCGCGCGAAAAAAAAGAGACGCGACCTGACCGAGCTAGAGCTCTCCGTCGGCGATCCGCGGCCCTCGGCGGCATACCGCCCGCGCACGATGCACGCGATGACGTGCCAGCCGGGACGCGCGATCGCGCCCGTCGCGCGCGTCGCGATCGCGTCCGCGCGCGGGGCGCGCGACCGCGGGGCGTCTCGGCCGCGGGGCGTCGCCTCTAAAGGGCGTTCAAACGTCGTCGCGGAGAGAAAAAAAAAATATCTCCATCATCTTCGTCTCGTCGCGCGCCGAGCGTCGGGCGGCGACGCCGCCGGGGCGGACGAGGACGACGATCCGTACACCATGGGAGGCGAGTTCTTCGAGGAGTGGGAGCGAGAGATGGTCAAGTTCTGGCGTCTCTGGAACGAGGAGCACGCGCGCCACCGCATCCGCGACAACGACATCGTGTGGATGGTGAGGCTCGGGCGAGAGATCCCCGCGTTCGCCAAGCCGGAGACGGTCGCGGCGGGCGCGAAGAAACTCCGCGCGCTCCTCCCGGACGCGCACGTCCCGATCATGATCCAGCGCGAGCCCGGCATCGTCGCGGACGGCATCGACTTCGTGCGCGCGTCGAGAAGCATCTTAGACCTCCAGGACCTCCTCTGCTCGAGCGATCACTGCCGCGACGTGACGCGCGTCATTGAGCGCGCGCCGCGGCTCCTCCTGTGCGAGGACGTGCGCGCGGAAGTCAACGCGGCGAAGCGACGCCTTGAGGAGATCGCGCCGAGCTGCGACGCGAAGAAGGCGATAAGCGAGTACCCCGAGGAGATCATCACGCGGATACAGCTGTACGACGAGTACAGCGACCTGCCCGTCTCGCTTCAGAACATAATCGCGGAGACTTCCGACGACGATGAAAACGAGGCGGCGGATGCGTACGACGCGCGGTGGAACGACTGGGAGCGCGAGTCGTCCGGCGGCGACGGCGTGGGGCTGGTTTCGAACCCGGGGAGAAGAGGGTTGGACGAGAACAGCTGGGATAATCAGTACGCGAGTCCCGACAGCGCGGAGTGGATGATCGACGGATACTGGGAGACGGAGGAGTCTGAGTCCGACGACGGCGGCGGATCACGCGGCGCGCAGCCGCTCGCGAAGAGCGCGTATCGCCTGCGCGTCGAGGCCGCGGCCGCGCGCGGGGAGACGCTCGAGGAGCCGGCGTGGAGCAGCAAGAACAACAACGTCGTGTCGAACCGGGACGAGGGCGGCGACGGCGAGGACAACTTCGAGGGAAACATGGACGCGTTTTGCGACGACGATCCCTCCGCGGACGAGTGCCGCGTCTTCGACTGACGATGAGACGACTGACCGACGAGATGCGCCGCGCCGCGCCGCTCGCTCGCTCGGATTCGTCTCATCCCCGCCCGGTGTACGATCAGAAACGGCTAGCTAGATAGCTAAGGGTGATTTGTAAGACTAACGAGATTCGCTCACTCGGGTCCACTGTCGGCTTCGTCGTCGACGCGAGGACGTTTGGCGTCCGGTGCTTCTTCTTCGTCGTCGTCCGTGAACGTCGCGTCGTACTCGCACGGAATCTCCTCCGGCGCCTCTTCCTCCTCTGCCGCCGACGCCGCCGCCACCGCCACCGCCGCCGCGCGCGCCTCCTCCTCCTCCTCTCTCCTCCGCCGCGCGACGAACGCCTTGTACAGCGCCTCAGCGCGCCGCTTCGCCGCTTTAAACCTCGGGTCCGACTGCAGCGCGAACTTCGCGGTGAGGAACGACGCCCCGCGCGCGATCCTCCCGCTCTGCTCCTTCTCCAGCACGAGCGCCTCGAACGCCGCGTCCTCGCGCGCGGTCGCCGCGTCCGCGGCCGCCTGGAGCTCGTCGATGTCCACGTTCTTCAGCGCCGCGGTCGCGTCGACGCCGTACTTGGCGTTCTCCGTCGGATCGAACAGCGGATTCGCCGCGGGCGTTCGCGACGGGTCCATCAGAACGACTCGCCCGGTTCGTCCCGATCCCGCCGCCGCCTCGGGCTTGACGTCCGCGCTTAGGGTTTGGGACTTCAGGCCGCCGTGGTGGATGCACGGCTTCCCGGGCTGGCAGCATCCGGACAGCTTCCCGGAAGCGCCCATCGGAGGCTTCCCGTCGCGGAGTCCGCGCGAGATCGACTGATCTGACGGCGAAAAAGTTCTTCTCGCTCGTCGCTCGCGCTCGTCCCGTCCGAGCACGTGTTTCGATCGCGAGCAGATAAGGCCGATCTCGCGACGCGCGCGGGTCACTGCGACCCGCCCGCGAATCGGAGTCGCCATGCACGTCGCGTCGCGCGTCGCGTGGACGCCCGTCGCGGCGCCGCGCGCGGCGCGGCCGCGTCGCGCGTCGCCGCCGACGACGACGAGCGCGCGAAGAAGACGCGTCACAAACGGCGTCGTCGTCCCGCGCGGACTCCGCGAAGAAGTCGGCACGGACGCGTTCGCGGACGCGCTGCGCGTGCTCGGCGGCGGGAAGGAGCCGCCGCGACGACGCCGCGACGACGCCGCGACGCGTTCGACGGACCGCGGGAAGAAGCGCGAGGGCGACGCCGCGAAGACGCCCGCGGCGTCGGCGTCGGCGTCGGGCGAGAAGCGCCGATCGGGGAAGAACGACGAGAAGACGTCGTCGTCTTCCGACGCGACGACGAAGACGACGACGACGACGACGAAGACGAAGACGACGACGAAGACGCCTCGTCCCCTGAAGGACGGCGCGCGAGAGGAGGAGCGATCGAAACCGAAACCGAAACCGAAGCGCGGGAGACGAGGACGACGCGGCCGCGGCGGGGGAGCGAGCGCGAACGCCTCGACATCGCGCTCCGACGACGTCGCGCGCGAGAACGACGACGGATGGCGAAAGAGCAGCAAAGAGCAGCTCGCGATGCGCGTCGACGCGTTCGCGTCGCACGCGGAGGCGTTGCTCGCGCTCGAGCGCGAGGCGGAGGCCGCGTCCGCGGCGAAGCTGATCCAAGAGAGCTGCGTCGAGACCGCGGAGGGGCCCTACGACGTCCTCGCGGCTGTGGGCGAGGGGACGTCCGTGGGAAGAACCGGCGCGCTGATGGAGGGATTGCAGCTCGTCGCGACGTCGCCCGGTCCGGGGAACAAGAGCGTGTTTTTCAACCTGAGGGCGATCGACGGGAAGGCGCTGCCGCCGTCCGCGATCGGCATCGGCGACCGCGTCGCGGTCGTCGTCGTGACCGGGGACGCGTGCGCGATCGGCGACGGTTCGAATCCAGGAAACGACGGTTCGAATCCGAACGACGAGCGCCGGCCGCTCATCGAAGCCGTCGTCTACAAAATCGAATCGACGGCCGGCAAAGTCACCATCGAGATCGACAAGGCGACCGCCTCAGACGAGCCCCTCGCCGGGCAAGTGCTGCGGCTGGTGAGGATCCCGGACGCGGTGACGTACGAGAGGCAGCTCGCGGCGCTCAAGACGCTGCGGAACGTCCCGCGCTCGAGGACCAAACCGCACGCGCCGAGCTTGAACATCGTTCGCGCGCTGTTCGCTCGCCGCCGATGTCCGCCGCTCGCGACGGCCCCCCAGGGGGACGAGGGCAGCACGGAGGCGACCACCGCCGCCGCCTCGGAGGAGGAGGAGGCGTCCGCGATCGACGTCGACGCGATGGACGCGATGAACGCGAACGCCGGCGTCGTCGGGTTCTTCGCCGCCGCCGTCGCCGACGACGCGGACTGGGGGAAGAAAAAAATACGCCGCGTCGACGTCGACGCGCTCCCGCCGCTGAAACGCCGGGATGGGCGGGGTCGCTCGAAGGGTTCGAACCCCGAGGATTCTTCGAGCGACCCTGCTTCTTCTTCGATCGACGACGACGACGACGACGTCGACGACGGCCTGGACGACGCGCAGAGGCTCGCGGTGCGCGCCGCGTTGACGGAGAGCGCGCCCGCGGTGTGGATCCAAGGCCCGCCCGGGACGGGGAAGACCAAGGTGGTCGTCGAGATCATTCGCGCCGCCGTTCGATCGGGCCAAAGGGTGCTCGCGTGCGCGCCGTCTAACGCCGCGGTGGATAACCTCGTCGAGCGCCTCGCGGAGCTGGACGACCCGGACGAGGAGATTAATTTCGTTCGTCTCGGCGCGCCGGAGCGGATAAGCGCCGCGGCGACGGCGTCGAGCCTGGACTCGAGGGTGGAGGAGACGACGTCCGCGTTCTTCGAGCGCGAGCGCGCGCGGCGGCGGGAGATCGTCGAGCTCACCAAACGCGGCTGGGCCGCACAGGAAAAGCTCCAGGGGGATAGTAAACGACGTAGGCCTATAAAGAAGGGCGGCGGCGGCGCGAGTAACGACGCCGAAGAGGCGAAGAGGGTGGCGGCGAAGTTGGACGCGCTGCGCGCCGAGCAGAGGTCCCTCGCGAAATCCGGCCGCAAGGTCCGCGCGAGGGCGGAGCGCGACGTGCTTCAAAACGCGCACGTCGTCCTCGCGACGTCCATCGGCGCGGGCGCGTCGAACGTCCAGAAGCTCCCCGCGTTCGACCTCTGCGTCCTCGACGAGGCGGCGCAAGCGACGGAGGTGCGTTCTGGTTACACTAGTCCCCATACGACCGCGTCGGCGTGGTGAACGCCGATCCTTAAGGACTTCCTCTCCCGGCGTCTCTCTCCGGCCACCCCTCGCTTTCAATCCCCGCCCTCGGCGCCTTTCAACTCCGACTGACGCCTTTCAACTCAACCCCGACGTTCAGCCGAGCGCGTGGATCCCGATCACGCGAAGCGAGCGCGTCGTCTTCGTCGGCGATCCGTGCCAGCTCGCGCCGCTCGTGCGGTCGACCGACGCCGCGGCGGGCGGACTCGCGACGCCGTTGATGACGCGCGCGTCGCACCGCGAGCGCTCGGAAGCGCTTGAACACACGTCGTCGTCCGAGGGCGCGGGAGACGACGACGCGACGGGAGCCGCGCAATGGTCTGCGCGTGACGCTCCGACCGCGACGCTCACCATGGGCGTGCTCGGGTGCGCGCTGACGACGCAATACCGCTCGCACGTCGCCATCTCGGACTGGGCGTCGAGGGAGATGTACTCAGGGAACCTCTTCGCGTCGGACGTCGTGAGTAGCCGGCTGCTTCGAGACCTTCCCGGGGTGATGACCACCGCCGCGACGTCCACGCCGTTGATGCTTCTGGACACGAGAACCGCCGGCGGGTTACTCCTCGCCGGGTGCTCGGAGCAGAGCGAGCGCGATATCGGCGGCGGCGGCGCGTCCGCGACGGCGACGACGTCGTCGTCTTCGCTCGCGAACGAGGGCGAGGCGTACGCGGTGACGATGCACGTCGCGGGTTTACTCGGCGCGGGGGTGAAGCCGAGGGATATTAAAGTGCAAAGCCCGTACGCCGCGCAGGTGCGGTTGATTCGCGCCAAGTTGCAGGCGGTCGCGGACGCGGGCGCCGCGCCCGGCGCGGAGCGCGTCGAAGTCGCGAGCGTGGATTCGTTTCAAGGGAGAGAGGCGGAGTGCGTCATCGTGTCCACGGTTCGCAGCAACGACCGCGGCGCGGTTGGCTTTTTGTCCGACCGGCGGCGGATGAACGTCGCGTTCACGCGCGCGCGCAGGCACGTCGCGATCGTGGGCGACAGCGCGACCGTCGGTTCTGATCCTTTTCTGAGGCGGTTGCTCGATCACGTCCGCGCGTGTGGGCTCGCCGCGAGCGCGAACGAGTTCGGACACGTGCACGACCCGACCCTCGCGGCTGACGCCTCCTCGGCGACGTCGGCGACCCGCGCGGACCAGACGACGATCGAAGTCGCGTGATCGCGACGACTGGAGCGAGCGACGACTGTATTTGTGAAATATTCTGTATCATCACACCCTCGCTCTATCATCATATCGTGCGCGTCGCCGTTCGTCCAATGTGAGAATAGGCGTGTGAGTTATGTGTTGTATGTCATTTCTTCGACGACGACGCGAGCGTCTCGAGCGCCTCGGCTTCGACCATCGCGACGCCGTCGAGGCCTTGCTCGAGCATCGCCTTCATCGCGGCGGCGACGTCGCCCACCGCGCGCCGCGCGTTTCTCTTCAGCGCGGCCATCTCCTCGCGCAGCGCCGCGCATTCCGCCTCTTTCGCGCGAAGCTGCTCCGCCCTCGACTCCGCGATCTTGGCCCACGACTCGCCCTCGCTGCCACCGAACGCCAAGTCAGCCTTGAGCGACTCGAGCTCCTCCCTCGTCGACTCCAGATCGCTCTTCGTCATCGCGAGGTCCGCGCGCAACACCGCCGTCTCTCGGTCGTTCGCCGCCGCCGCCGCGGCTCGGAACGGCGGCGCGACGCACGTCGACCCGAACGCCGGCGGGGTGTCGCCGCACTCGCTCGGAGAGGAGTTAAACAGCGCGTTGTCCTTCGCCATCGTCCACGTCCCGCCGGGCGTCTTCGACCCCAACGCCTCGATCCGCTGTTTCAGTCCCGGCGTCTTTGAAAAACCGGGTACGCCAGACTCGATCCTCTGTTTCAGACCCGGCGTCTTCGCCGCCTCCGACGGTTTGCCGACGCTCATCCTCCGTTGCTCCTTCGCCGGCGTCCTACACGAGGCTTTATTAGGGTCATTCGCGTCGCCCGACTTCTGACGCGTCTTCGCGAGCGAGCTCGCCGTCGCGAGCGTCGCGCGGGACGCCGCCCTCGCCGCGCGCGACGGCTTCGCGGCGCCCGCCGCTGCCGCCGCGGGTTCCTCGACGATCGTCACCTTCTTCGCCGTCGCCGCCGCCGGTTTCTTCGCTGCCGCCGCGGGGACGGCCGCGGAGACGGCGGCGGGGACGGCCGCAGGCCTCGCCGATTTCGCCGGCGGCGTCATCATCTGCGCCGCGAGCTTCGCGTAGTACCCTTGGTTGTTCCACGAGTCGGACAGCTGCTCGCGGAGTCCCTTCTTCACGACCCCCGCCGGCGTCGGCGGCTCTTGGTCGATCGGAAGGACGTCCTCGGCCATCTGCATCAACGCCGCGACGCGCTCGTGGACCTCCTGGACCGCTCTGTCCGCGCCGGCGCCGGCGCCTTTCGGGTTTTTCCAGCTAGGGGGGTTCGAGTTCGGATCTTCGGGGGACGAGTCCTTCTCCGAGCTCGACGCCTTGCGCTCGCCGCCGTCGCCGCCGACGCGGCCGCCGCTGCCTCCACCGCCGCCGCCGTTCGCTTTCGCGTTCTTGAGCGGCTGCCCGGGCGTGACGACGCCCGGTTTGACCGAATCCCAGGCCATGAACTCGCCGTACCTCGACGGCGCCGTCCGGCGGCTCCCGCGCGTGACGCGACCGGTCGGCCGCGTCGTCCCGCCCGCTGCGGCCGCCGCCGCCGCCGCCGCGGCTTCGTTGGCGCGCATCGCGTCCGCCGCCGCCGCCGCGTTCGCCGCCTCTTCCTCGCTCATCTCAGGCTCCTCCTCCTCTTCTTCTTCTCCGTCTTGGACCACCGCCGCCGCCGCGTCCTCGGCGGACTCGCTCCTCGGCGCTTTCCCGGCCGTCGCGTTGAACGACGGGATCTCCTCCGTGTCGCCTTCGTCGTCGTCGTCGTCGTCGTCGTCGTCCGCGGGCACGCCCCGCGCGTACGGCGTCCCGGGCTTCTTCCCCGTGACGTTCACCACCTTTGGCGTGGTCTCGTCGTCGTCGCGCGCCGCGCCGCGCGCGTTCGGTTGGAACGGCGTCGACCCCGCGTTCGTCGTCTTCGCGGGCGCCGCTTCCGGTGTCGTCGCTTCCGGTGACGCATCCGCCGGCGCGGATCGCGCCGCCGCCGGCGACGGCGCGGCGGCGGCCTCCTTCGCCGCCGCCTCCGCCGCCGCGGCCGCCGCCGCGGCCGCGGCGGCGGCGGCGGCCGCGGCCTTCCGCCTCGCGGCGCGTCCGAGCCCGGGCTCCCGCGTCGGCTGCGCGACCGGCGCCGCGGCGTTCGCGGCCGATCTCGCCGCCAAAGATCTTTTGGATTTCTTCGTGTCCACCAACGGCTGACACGTGAGTCCGGGGATGTGGAACCCGGCGTAGCGGTTCGCCCCCGGCGCGGCAGCTTTCGCGTCGTTACTGACGTCGGTTAAGGTCATCGCGGCCGGTGTCGCGTGCGGTCTGGGCGCCTCGCGCGTCGCGTGATGGTCGTCGGCGGTTCCGAGGATTACGAAAACGTCTACGACAGCTTTTTGGTTCCCCTTTTATTAAATTTTTTTTTTCTACAAAAAAGCTGTCGCGGCGGCGCTACTCGCCCTCCGCCTCCTCGCTCGTCGTCGCGTCCGTGTACTCGCTCGAGTCGTCGAGGTCGACGACGCGATCCTCGACGTCCGCTTCTACGCCGTAATCCACCGCGCGCATAAGGACGTCCTGGATCACCTCGGACGCGCGAGACGACGCCGGCCGCGACCCCGGCTCCGAAGGCGCCAGCTGGACGTACCCGGACGACGCGGTGGACTCGAAACTCGCCTCGAACTCCTCCTCCTCCTCCTCCTCCTCCTCCCGAGCCGCCGCGGCGCGCTGCGGCCGCGGCAGCGCGAGTCGCGTCTCCGCCTCTTCATCGACCCCGACCTCGACGTCGCTCGCGACGTCCCGGGGCCCCGAGCGCATTCGCACGGTCGCGAACTCTTCGAGCGTGAGATGCCGGTCGCCGTCCGCGTCTTTGCCGCGAAAAAACGCCTCCAACGCGTCCCTGCTGCCGTCCTCCTGTCTCACGACCGAGGGGAGGTTCAGCTTCGCCGCGACGTCGGGGTTCTTGCGCAGCGCGATGATGAGCTCGCGGACGTCCACGCGCCCGTCGCCGTTCTTGTCGAGCCTCCGAAACAACGACGCGAGCGACGCGTCGACGACGCCGCCGGACGGTTCCGGCGACGGCTCCGCGACGACAACCGCCCCCGGGGCGACCAGCGCTCGGCCGACATCCTCCTCCTCGTCGTCGTCCTCGTCTGGATCCCTCGACGGCGTCGTCGCCGCGCGTCCTCCTCCTCCTCTCCGCGAGGACGGCGAGGACGGAATCCGAACCGGCGGGCGGCTCGCGTCTCGCATCGCGTCCAGCTTTTCCGCCGCCTCCGCCACCTTCGCGCGCTCTTCCCGCAGCGCGCGCCGCAGCGTCGCGACGCGCTCGTCCGACGCCTTCGCCTCGTCCTCCTTGGCGTCCGCCCTCGCTCTCGCGCGCGCCAGCTCCTTCCGCAGCCCCGCGATCGATGTTTCCAACCTCGCGATGCGCTCGATCGAGTCCCCGCCGCTCTCCACCGCGCCGACGGCTTTCGTGACGAGCGTGTGCACCGCCCTCGCGCGCACGACGGCGCTGGACGCGCTCGACGGCCGGCTCGGCGTTCGCGACGCTTCCAGTAACGCCTCGTTCAGGCGCGTTATCTCCGCGTTCGCGTCCTCGAGCGACGCGTCCACGCGCATCGCGTGCGTCTCGAGCGCGTTGACTTGCGCGCGCAACGACCGAAGCGCGGGTTTCGAGCGCGCCGCGCTCGCCGTCGCGACGGACGCCTCGTCTCGCGCCGCCGCCGCCACCGCCGCCTCCATTCGACACAACCGTCTCCAGTGCGTCAGCTCCTTCGTCAACCCCGCGATTTCGCCCTCGAGCGTCGTCTTATTCTCCCTAAACTCCACCAGCGACGCGTGCAGGTCCCTCTTATCGCTCCGGAGGAGCTCCGACTCGCGCGTCGCGTCCTCGGCGCGTCGAAGCGCGTGCTTCGCCCGCCGTTCGCTCGCGGCGACGCTCTCCCGCGCCCTCTCCGCGTCTTCCGCGCTCTGTAACACCCCGCCGTCGCGGGAGCCGGGCGCGTCGTCGGGTCCGAACGCGAGCTGCGCTCGCAACGACGCGTTCTCGCGCTTCAAACGCGCGATGTCTTCTTTCAACACGCGAGGGTCGACCCAGTCGTCGCATCGAACGCGGAGCTTCACGAGCACCGGGCGATCTTCAATCTCCGCGCGCGTCGGCCGCGGCGGCGTTCTCGAGGGCGTCACGTCCGCGCGCGTCGCGTCCACCGCGCGGTCGTTTAAGATCTTCGCGAGCCTCTTGACCTCGGATACGTACACCTCGTTCTCGACTTCCAGGGTGAGGAGGCGGCGCGCCGCCGCTTGCGCTTCCGCGGACGGCGGCGGCGTCGGCGGCGGCGTCCGCGGCGGCGGCGGCGCGACGGCGGCGTCCGCCTCGTCGTCGGACGACGCGTCGTCTCTCGCCCCGGACCTTCGCAGCCTGCGAATCTCCGCGTCCGCTCGCGTCGCGTCCGCGGTCATCGACCGCATCTTCGCCTCCATCTCGTTGTGCCGCCGTCGAAGGTCCATCACTTCCTCCGCCAGCGTTTCCTTCTCGCGCGTCAACAACGTCGCGACCGCGCACTCGCCGCGACGCGTTGACCGCGGCATCGCGCCCCCGGGAGCGTACGCCGTCGGACCCGCGCGCGTCGCCGGCGCCGGCGCGCTCGTCGTCGTCGTCGTCGTCGTCGTCGGGTTCGCGTGAGGGCGCAAGCGCGGTCCGGAGGACCATCCCGCTCTCGCGCCGGGAGGGGGCGGGGGCGCGGGCGGAAGGCGATCGCCTCGGCCACTGCGCGGGATGGGCTGGCCGATGACCCACTGCGACGGGCTCAGGCGGTTCAGTTCCGGCGGAAGACGCGAGCGCGGCAGCCGCGGCTCGAGCGCCGCGCCCGGACGCCGCGGGTCGCCGCGGCCCGCGGTGTCGTCGAACCGCCGCCGCGCGTCCGCGACCGCCATCGCCGCGCGCGTCGTCCACTGACGACTACGGACGACGAGAACGTTTCTGGGAGCAAACGGCTCAAATCGCAGCAATCGTAATCGCGCGCAGTCAGCGTCGATCGAGCTGACATCATCGTCCGCCGTCTTCGTCGCGACGCGCTCGCCACTCCCAGCGGCGCGAGTCGTACGTACCCCGGCGTCCCCCGCGGTGCGGCGAGACTCCGCGCGAGGACGCTCGAGAGGGAGGCGCTCGAGCGGCGGGATATCGCGGTAGGAGGCGGGCTCGCGCGGCGGCGATCGATCCGTCGAAGCATCCATCCATCGTCCGCCCGTCGTCGTCGTCGCGCGCGATGGCGGAGACCGCGGGAGGGAGCCGGCTGGATCGCCTGATCCAGCTCCTCGAGACCGGCTCCACCGCGGCGGCGAGGAACGAAGCCGCGAGGCAGATCGGCGAGATCGCCGCCGCGCACAGCAACCAGCTCCCGAACCTCCTGCGACGGGTGCGACGTCGCCGCGTCCCGTCGTCCCGCGCGTCGGTCGTTCCGCGGGTGCCCTAATTTATTAATTCCTCTCCGTCATGGCGTCGCCGTCCGAGATCCATCCGCGCCTCTCCCTCACGACCCCTCTTACCCTCTCCCGCGCTCGCCGCTCCCTATCTCCGCCGCCACCGCAGATCCGGTACCTCTTGAAGAACAAACAATGGGAGACGCGCGTCGCCGCGGCGAGGACGATCTCGCACGTGTGCTCCGGGATCTCGCACGCGACGGTGGAGGACGTCGCGAAGCTCGAGGGCACGACGGCGGACGCCGCGCGCGCGGACGCGGCGAACCTTCCGAAGCCACCGTCCGGGGGCTCCGAGAACGCCGACGCCGGCGAGGCCGCGGACTTGACGTTCGACGAGTTCGACATCGTGGGCGTCCTCGAGCGCGCGGCGCCGCTGCTCGCGAACAAGGTGGACGCGCTCGACGCGGCGGCGTTCAGGCGCGTTCTATTTCACACTGGTTCCCATACGACCCCGTTGGCGCGGTGCACGCCGTTCCTTAAGGACTTTACTTCCCGGCGGCGCATCTCTCCGCGCATCACCGCTCGTTTTCAATCCCGACACACCGCGACGCCTTTCAACTCCCAAGTCTGACGCCTATGAACTCCACCCCGACGAACGTTCGTCGCTTCGTGCGGACCCTCGACCCTCAGCGACGACGCGAAACTCTCGAAGGCGGAGCGATTACGACGCGCGAGGCTGACGCTGCGGCAGCGCCTCGGCATGTCCGTGAAAGAGGAGGACGACGGCGACCGCGACCGCGGCGACGACAACAATAAGCCGCCCGCGTCCGGGGTCAACACCGGCGCGTTCATCGACGTCGACGACTTGCTCGGGGAGGACGACGTGGACGACGAGATGATCAAGAGGGAGCCGGACGCGGAGGCGGGACCGAAGAAGGTGGACGCGACGGATCTCGGGCAGCTCAGCGCGCGCGAGCGGAACCGACTGAAACGGAAGCAGAAGCGCGCGGCGAAGGACGACGGCAGCGGCGGCGCGCCCGCGGCGAAGCGCGCTGCGACCTCGGGGAAGGGCGGCGGCGTGAGAGACAAAGAGCTCGACGCCGCCACCGCCGCGGAAGCCGCGGAGGACGACGACGAAGCCGCGGAGGTTGAAGCCGGGGGCTGGCCGTTGTCGCGCACGTGCGAGAGCCTCGCGTACTCGCTCTTCGCGCCTCGATGGGAAGAGCGCCACGGCGCCGCGGCCGCGCTGCGCGAGGTCTTGCGGCACCACGCGTCGATGGCCGCGGTGTCGCGACCGCCGACGCGCGCGACGTCCGCGCCGCCGGGCGCCGCCGCGGAGGCGGCGAGAGCCAACGCGGCGTGGCTCGAAGACGCCGCCGTGCGTCTGCTCTGCCTTCTCTCCCTCGACCGGTTCGGCGATTACGTCGGCGACGGCGTCGTCGCGCCGGTGCGGGAGACGGGCGCGCAAGCGCTGGGCGCGTCGCTGTTACCGCTGCCGCCGACCGCGGTCGAGGCGGTCACGAGAGCGGTGCTGGTGTTGTTGCGTCGGAAGGAGTGGGAGGTGCGTCACAGCGCGTTGTTGGCGTTGCGATACGTGCTCGCGGCGCGCGCGTCGCTCGCGCCGCGGCTGCTCCCCGCCGCGCTGCCCGCGGCGACGAGAGCGCTGGACGACAAGGACGACGACGTCCGCGGCGCCGCCGCGGAGGCGCTCCTCCCCGCGGCGTCGCACCTCCCGAAACACAAAGACGAATTCCCGCCGTTGCTTCACGCGTTGTGGGGTTTGCTCGGTCGTCTGGACGACCCAGATTTGCTCACGTCGCCGTCCAACGTGCCCATCATGTCGCTGATTTGCGCGCTGTACGAGCTCCCGGAGACGACGAGCGTGCGTCCCACCGCGGAGGAGAACAGCACGCTGAAGGACGTCGTCCCTCGAGTGTTTCCGTTCGCCGCGCACCCTATCGTGGCCGTGCGCGTGGCGGTGTGGCGGACGCTGCGGCGGCTTCTCGCGAGCGGCGGCGATGAGAATCCAAACTCTAAACCGGAGTGGCTCGACGCGCTCTCGGAACCGATCCTGCGACTGCTGTTCCAGGCGCTCCTCCTCGAGGAAGACGACGAGACCGCGACCGCGGCGTCCGACGCGTGGAACGACGTCCTCGAGCGCGCGGGCGACGACGCCGTCGCGAACGTGGTCGCGGCGCGCGTCGAGGGTTGGTGCTCGACGACGGCGACGACGACGGGCGCGAGGCCGGACGCGAAGCTTCTGTACGTCGTGTCCTTGGGCGGCGGCGACACCACCGGCGCGGACGAGCGCGCGCACGTGTCCACGAGCGAGTGGACCGTCTCCACGGCTGGGCGGTTCCGCGCGATCGAGGCGCTGTCAAAGCTCGCGGAGGTTTTGTGCGGTCGCGGGGGCGGCGCCGCCGGCGCCGCCGCGAAGGCGTTGGAAGCGCAGGTGGTTCGTCTCATGGCGTCCAACCGCGCGACGTGGCGGCTCACGGGCGCGCACCTTCTCTCGAGATGGCTCACCGCGATCCCCCCCGGGTCGCCGAAGCCCGCGCTGGAGGCCCCGGGCGCGCGGTTGGGTGAAATCTTAGCGGCGACGAATCCGGCGTATCCGTCCGCGCCGTCGCCCGTCGGGTATCTCGAGCTCGCGAAGGTGAGACTGCTTCCCATACGACCCCGTTCGCGTGGTGCACGCCGTTCCTTAAGGACTTTTCCCGTCGTCACTCTTCACCCGCGCTTCCCTTTCAACGTTTGACCGGTAAGACGTTCGACTGACCGATCGCTTCACCCACGCAGGTGGTCGAGAGGGTGAAGACGGAAGCCGCGGGGTTGTTACGCGCCGCCGCGAGCGCGGGGGTGGCGCCGACGGGGGAGGTGCCGTCGCCCGCCGCGGACGGGTTCGGCGCGGAGCACGCGGGGACGCTCTCCGCGGCGATTCCAAAGGTGGGGTGCCGCGCTCCCCGCGCGCGAAGCGAAGCGTCCGTCCGGCGTTCTTCCTCTCTCTCGTCGCGCCTCGCCGCGCCGCGTTTGAACGATTCGATTTTTTTTTTCTTCGCCCGCCCGCCGACCGCCCGACTTTGGAGCCGTATGTCGACCCGGCGCTTCGCGCGTCGGGTCGCTTCGACGCGCTCGTCTTACTCCGTCGTCGTCGGGCTTCTTCCCCTCGTGTTGGCGTGGCGTCTGATCCTCGCGGTCGGACGTTTGCTGCTGGCGTGGCGTCTGATCCTCGCGGTCGGACGTGCGCTGCGTCTGATCCTCGCGGTCGGACGTGTTACCTGCGTCTGATCCTCGCGGTCGGACGCACGCGCCGCAGCACATCGCCGTGCGCGGCGGGAGGAGGCACCGCGTCGACGGGGGTCACCCTTTCGCGGGCATGGACGAGGGCGTCGCGCGTTCGCGCGCGCGCTCCTACACGAACGAAACGTCAGGGCATAGCAGGTTTCCCCAGCCTAGCATTGGCTCCGGGAGAAGTATCGTTGCCCCCACATCTTCAGAGCAATCTCGAACTCGACTCTCGATTCGATCGTCCGTCTGACCCGTCCGACCGCGCGCGCGTCGCTCCGGTCATCGCGCGATGCTCACGATCGATCGACCCCTCCTTCCTTCCTTCCTCCCTTCCTTCGAACGCGACGCAGGGTCCCGCGGCGGTGGAGTCGGCGCGGTCGCAGCTCTTGGCGTCCGCGGCGTACCTGCACTCGGAACAGACGCGGTTACACTCCGGCGTCCTCGCCGCGGCCGCGTCCGCGGCGGTCGCGTTCGGCGCGCTTCCCGCGAAGCTGAACCCGTTCATTCAACCGCTCATGAACGCGATCAAGCGCGAGAGGGACGAGCTGCTTCAGACGCGAGCCGCGGACGCGCTCGCGGGGTTGATCAAGCTCTGCGTCGGGCGGACGCCGTCGCCGGTGGGGAAGATCGCCGGGAACGTGTGCGCGCTCGCGTGCGCGGACCGCGCCGAGACGCCGAACGCGCTGGTGGAGGCGGACGCGCCGTCGGAGTGCGGCGCGAAGGAAGTTTTGTCGGACATGTCGGAGTTGTCCGACGCGGCTGTCGCGCGGCGCGGCGCGGAGGCGACGTTACGCGCGCTGTCGTCCGCGTTCGGCGCGTCCGTGTTCACGTCCGCGCCGAAACTCTGGGAGCTCATGGCCGGGTCGCTGACCGCCGCGGGAGCCGCCCCGCAGGCTGTGGTGGACGGATTGCAGATCCTGAAAGTGTTGGGCCCAGTCGCGCACGCGGACGTGCGCGCGTCGGTGCTGGAATTACTCCCCGTCGCGTTCGACAAAGCCACCGCCGCGGGTTCGTCCACGGCGCTGCAGACGACCGCCGCGCGCGCGATCGCCGCGCTCGCGCTCGCGGCGCCGTCCGACGTCGTCCCGTCGCTCCTCGAGCGGATCGTCCCGGCGTTGGAAAACGCCGGAGAGGCGGACGACGCGGCGGCGAAACGACGCGGCGCCTCCGCGGTGTCCGCGAGCCTCGTGCGCGCGCTCGGCCCCGCGCTCGCGCCGTTCTGCGTCCTTCTTCTCGTGCCGCTCATGGGTCGCATGTCCGACCCGCACGAGAGCGTCCGGGAGATGGCAACGCGGTCGTTCGCCGCGCTCGTGCCGCTGCTGCCGCTGGCGCGCGGCGCGGCGCAGCCGGAGACGTTGTCCGACGCGCAGAAGAAGCGAAGCGAAGCGGACGGCGCGTTTTTGGAAGCGTTGCTGGATAACAGCAAGGTGGAAGACTTCGAGCTGCCGTTTCACTGCAACCGCACGTTGCGACCGTATCAACAGGAGGGCGTGAACTGGCTCGCGTTCCTGCGAAGGTTTAAACTCCACGGCGCGCTGTGCGACGACATGGGGCTGGGGAAGACGCTGCAGAGCACGTGCATTCTCGCGGCGACCGTCGTCGAGCGTCGAAGAGAACGCTTACCGAAACTCCCCGCGCTCGTCGTGTGCCCGCCCACGCTCGTCGGTCACTGGGCGCACGAGATCGGTCTGTACGTCTCCGAGGACGTCTTAAAGCCGCTCGAGTACGCGGGGTCGCCTAACGAACGCGCCGCGCTTCGGCCCGACATCGAATCCGGGGAATACGACGTCGTGATCATGTCGTACGACGCGTTACGGCAAGACGTGGAGTATCTCACGACGAATAAATCGTTTTCGTATTGCATCCTGGACGAAGGCCACGCGATTCGGAACCCGAAAGCGCGTATCACGCAGGCGGTGAAGAAGATCCGCGCGGAACATCGGTTGCTTCTCTCCGGGACGCCGATCCAAAACGACGTCGTCGAGCTCTGGAGTCTGTTCGATTTCCTCATGCCAGGTTTCCTCGGGACGGAGCGCGAGTTTAAGACGTCGTACGGCATCGCCGGCGCGCGGTCCGCGGCGGCAAAAAAAGGCGGCGGCCTCACCGAAGCCGGCGCGCTCACCATGGGCGCGCTGCACAAGCAGGTCATGCCGTTCGTCTTACGGCGGACGAAGGACGAGGTTCTGAAAGACCTCCCGCCGAAAATTATCCAAGACGTCTACGTCGACCTGAGCGTCAACCAAAAGAAGCTCTACGACGCGTTCGAAGGAAGCTCCGTGAAGAGCGAGATCGAGACCGCGGTTTCCGGCGGCGGCGGCGGCGCCGACGGCGACGGCGCGGGCGCGACGTCGCACGTGTTCCAAGCGCTGCAGTACCTGAGGAAGCTATGCTCGCACCCGCGGCTCGTGAACGGAGGGAAGAAGGCGGTCGGCGGGAAGGTTTCCGCCGAAGACGCGTCGCCAAAGTTTGTCGCGTTGAAACAGATCCTCCTCGACGCCGGCATCGGCCGCGACCCGGACGTCGAGAGGGAAGATCAAGAGACCGGGGGCTTCGCGAAGAAAGAGAGCGAGAGCAGCGGGCACCGGGTGTTGATCTTCACGCAGCTCAAGGGGTTGCTCGACCTCGTCGAGGAAGAGCTCTTCGGGACGATGATGCGAGGCGTGTCGTGGTTGCGTCTGGACGGGTCGGTCCCGCCGACGCGACGGTTCGACGTCGTTCGGAAGTTCAACGCGGACCCTTCCATAGACGTGTTGCTGCTCACGACGCACGTCGGCGGGTTAGGCCTCAACCTCACCTCCGCGGACACCGTGGTGTTCTTAGAGCACGACTGGAACCCGCAGAAAGACTTGCAGGCGATGGACCGCGCGCATCGACTCGGGCAAAAGAAAACCGTCAACGTGTACCGGCTTCTCACGAAGGGCACGATGGAGGAGAAGATCATGGGGCTGCAGCGGTTCAAGCTCGACGTCGCGAACGCGGTCGTGAACACGGACAACATGAGCCTGTCCGCGATGGACACCGGTCAGATGCTCGAGCTGTTCACGGCGGACAAGGGGGGCGGGAAGGGCGGCGGCGGCGGCGGCGGCGGCGGCGGCGCGGGGGGAGGCAACGCCGTCGCCGCGGCCGCCGCGGACGCGGCGAGCGGCGGCGTGAAAGCCGCGCTCGTCGGTCTCGAGGAGCTGTGGGACGAGAACCAGTACAAGGAAGAGTTCGCGTTGGACGGCTTCATCAACAGTCTGAACGCGAAGGGATGAGCGAGCGTCGCGTTGTTAGTTTCTATTTTCGCGCGACGCGACTCTGACTTCAGAAAAAGAACCGACGGATGTTGACGTTGAAATAGTGTAAACCACGCCGCCGCTCTCGCCCCACATCAGATCGACCCGCGCGTTCGCACGATGGCGCCGCCGCGCACGGGGACGCGCGTCGCGGTGATGGACGTCCTCGGCAAGGTCCTCGCGGACTACCGCAAGGATCGAAGACTGTGCGTGTCTCTCTCCCTGGGCATGTGCGGGCTCGCGTACTACACGATCCAGAACACGTCGCAGCCCAAGCTGGTGAGCCAATTCGCGGCGGCGAGAACCGAAGCGAAGGCGCGCGCCGCGGCGAGGGCGGCGAAGCGCCGGGATCGAAAGAAGAAGATCGCGTCCGCCGCGCCCGGCGCTTCCGACGACGCCGCCGCGATCGCGACGACGACGCCGGCGAAGCCGCCCGCGCCGGCGCGACCGCACGCGCGGAAGCAGGCGGCGGTGGACGGCACGTTCGTGAAGCGGATGGCGTTCGTCCTCCAGATCGTCGTTCCCTCGTTGAACTCCAAAGAAGCCGCGCTGCTCGCGATCCAGACGCTGCTGCTCGTGTCGCGCTCGTTCATCTCCCTGCGCATCGCGCGCAAGGGCGGCGACGGCCTCCAGGCGGTCATGGAGCACAGCTGGAAGAAGTTCGGGATCGTCCTCGGCGACTTTTTCGTCTCGGGCGTCGCGGCTTCGGTGGTCAACTCCGCGTTGAAGTACATGACGAACTCGATATCGCTGTCGTTCCGTCAGAGGCTGACGACGTACGTGCATCAGCGGTACCTCAGCGACCAGGCGTACTACCGCGCCGCGGTGTTGCGGGTCGGGAACTTGGACAACGCGGATCAGAGGATCGCGGACGATCTGAACCAGTTTTGTCACACCGCGTCGGATTTGTTCTCGAGGACGTTCAAACCTTTACTCGACGTGATCCTCTCCACGATGCGCATGGGCGAGAACATGGGTTACGGCGGCCTCGTCGTCCTTTACTCCTACTTCCTCTTCAGCGGTGCGGTGATACGAGCCGTGAGCCCGCCGTTCTCGGAATACATCGCGCGGTCGCAAAAGCTCGAAGGCGATTTCCGCCGGATGCACTCGCGACTCATAACGCACGCGGAGGAGGTTGCGTTTTTAGACGGCAGCGACCGCGAGCGCGCCATCTTAGACCAGAAACTCGAGGCGACGACGACGTGGCAGCAGTTTTATTTCTACCTCCAGTTCAAGCAAGGCGTCATCGATCAGTACTTCGTGAAGTATTTCGCGTCCATGATTGGCTGGCCCGTGCTCGCGTTTCCGTTTCTCACGAAAGCCGGTCACGGCGGACGATCCCCCGGTGAGATCGCGGCGCGGTACCGCGAGTCCGACACGCTCATCCAGAGCGCGAGCAGCAGCGTCGGGGATCTCATGATGGTGTACAAGAAGCTCCAGAGGCTCTCGGGCTTCACCGCGCGCGTCGTCGAGCTGTTGGAAGCCGTCGACAGTCCGACGTATCACGATCCGCTGTCGCGGACGCCGTCGCACGGGAAGCTTCCATCCGGTGATCCGGAGAACGAGACCACGACCGGTGGTGGTTCGAACGGGACCACGACCGAGAACGGCGTGAAGAACATCGTCGCGGCGTTAGAGAAGAAGCTGAGCGCGCCGAGGGGTGGTCCGACGGCGGCGGCGGAGAAGGTTCGAACAGGCGCCGGCGGCGTCGTCCTCAGCGGCGCCGCTAACGACGGCGTCCGCTTCGACCGCGTCTCCGTGTACTCCCCCGACGGCCGCTTGCTCGTGAAAGACGTCTCTTTCGACCTCAAGCCCGGAGAGAATCTGTTCGTCACCGGCGCGAACGGCGCGGGGAAGACGTCGTTGTTCCGCGTCCTCGCGGGCTTGTGGGAACCCGCCTCGGGCGTCGTGACCCGTCCGGACGTGCAGCGGTCCGACGACGACGACGACGACGACGACGACGACTCGCGGGACGCGAGCGAGGAGGAGGAGGAGGGAGGGACGGAGACGACCTCGTCCGCCGCGTCGCGCCCGTTCCAGGTGTTTTACGTCCCGCAAAAGCCGTACCTCGTGTCGGGTTCGCTGAGGGACCAGGTCATGTACCCGCGCGCCGGGTCGAGCGATTTCGACGACGAGATCATCGAGGCGTTATCTCGCGTCAACCTCCTGAAGCTCGTCAACGCGCACGGGCTGGATAGAGTGCCGCACGACTGGGCGGACGTCCTTTCCGGCGGGGAGAAGCAAAGGGTCGGGCTCGCGCGTCTGTACTTCCACAAGCCGTCCTACGCGGTGTTAGACGAGGCGACGTCGGCGATCAACCCGGACGAGGAAGGGAGCTTCTACGACCACCTCGGGACGTTGGGGATCACCGCGTTTAGCATCGCGCACCGGATGGAGCTGAAGAAGTTTCATCACTCGCACTTGCACTTTCACGCTGACGGCACGGGGGGGTGGACGCTGAAGCGGATCAAGAAGTGAAGTGATGTAACAGAAGGAGGAACCGACGCGGGCGAGGGGACGACGCTACGCTACGGAAAAATCCATTTTCGTGAAAAAATAAACCATTAAAATTTGCGTCGTCGACGCCGCCACCCCCGTCCCCCCCACCCTTCCTTCCCCGCGCGCGCTCCGATCCGATTCACCGGTGCGCTTGAATCTTCTGCCACATGTGGTGCTTAAACTTCGCCTTCGTCAGCGCAGCCTGAACCGCCGTCATCGTGCTCATCTCGGATATCTTCGACATCCCGCTGAGGCCGCTTCGAAACGACGCGCCGTCGACGGACGCGAAGTCGTCCTCCCCCTCGCGCGTTCCGTCGCTGCTCTTCGGCGTGCCCCGCGGGACCATCGCCCACGTGTCCACGCCGGGGGTGTCATCGGGGGCGTCCGGCATGACGTCCTCGACCTCGACCTCGTCCTCGGCGTCGGCGTCGGCGTCGGTGTCGGCGTCTTCCGCCGCCAAAGACTTCGGCTCCGGCGACGACGCCGTCTCCACGACTTCGTCCAGCACCGCGTCGACGATTTCCTCCGGGGACGTCGGCGCGCGCGCTTCTTCCTCCTCCGTCGCGCCGCCTCCTCGCGTCGGCGTGTGCGGCTCCGAGGAGGTCGCCGCCGCCGTCGCCGCCGCGGGCGCCGCCGCCGTCGGCGACACCGACGACGCGCGCGACGACGGCAGTGACATCACCCCTCTCGGCGACGCGCCGCCGTCGTCCTCCGCCTTGGCCTTCGCCGCCTTGACGGCGGCGTCGGCGGCGTTGGCGCAGCGCATCACTTCCGCGGCGTTCCTCGTGAGTTCCTCCTTCAATCGCATGTTCTCCATCTGCATCATTCGCATCGACCGCCGCTGCTCGTCCATCGACCGCCGCTGCTCCGCGAGCATCTGCATCGCCTCTCGCAGCTCGTTCTTCATCAGTTCGAGCTTCTCAGCGTCCACGGGCTTCTTCGCGGCGCGGACCGAGGATCTTCTCTCTTCGCCGTCGCCGTCGCAATCGCCGCGGTTCTTCTTCCTCCCGAACTTGGTGCGCACGACCCATCGCGCGGCGCCGGAGAGGACGCCGAGGACCGCGCCCGCGGCGATCTGCGCGAGATCCACCTGGACTTTGCCACGTCCGTCGACGCCCTCGCGTCGTCGACGACGCGGCGACGAGCGTTTGTCGCTTTTCCCCCCCCCGCCGAAATCGTCGTCGTTCGCGATCGCGGACCCGTCGCGCCCGCCGCGCTTCCGCGGCGGCTCGACGCGGTGTTTCCCCGCGGGCGGCGCGGACGCGCGCTCGACGGCGATGCGGGCCATGCTCTCTCGCTCTCTCGCCTCTCGCGGAGGCGCGGACCGTGGCGGCGCGGACGCGAGTGCCGCGCGCGCGAGCGACCGCGACGACGCTCGTTCGCTCCGAGATCTTTTTTCGCGCGACGAAACTGATGATGCTGGTAACTGGCGCGCTCGAAACGGCCGCGAGCGAGCCCGCCAACGGTCAGTTTGAATTTCCACGCGCGGACCCGACCGAGGAAACTGATGAAAGAGGCGAGTCGTCCGCGCCAGAGCCCCCCGCGCGCCGGGCACGATGCCGCTCTCTTACAGCACGCAGAAGGCGAAGACGCCGCCGCGGAGGGCGCCGCTGTCATCGCGACCGGCGTGGGGGAGCAAGGTGGCGAGGTCGAACGCGCGGATGTGGTCCGCGGAGCCGATCGACGCGCCCGCGGCGCGCGCGAAGAAGCCGTCGGTGCCGAGACGCGCGACGACGACGACGACGACGACGACGACGAACAAATCGAAGCATCCGACGACGCGGAAGACCGCGCACGAGCGCGCGGAGGCGGCCGCCGCGGAGGCGCGCGCGCGATCGCCGCTGTATCGCGCGTCGCCGAGCCCGGTCAAGGCGGTGAACTCGCCGAAGCGACGGCCGCTGTCCGCCGAGCCGACGCACGTGCGGTTCATCGACCGCGACGACGACGACGACGACGACGAATTCGACGACGCGTCGTCAGACCCTTCCGAGTCGGACGACGACGAAGGCGTCGACGCGGACCTCGCGGCGATCTTCCAGACCCTAGACCGCGACGGCGACGGCGCGGTGAACATCCGAGAGCTCGTCCTCGCGCTGCGCGCGAACCCGGACGTCGCCGCGCGGTTAGGTCTCGCGTCGCGGATTCGGCAGGAGGACGGCAGCAGGGACGTCGTCGAGTCGTTCTTTCAACGCCTGGACGCGGACCACGACCGCAAGCTGACGCTCGACGAGTTCTCGTATCTCGCCGAGCTCGAGGCCGCGGACGCCGCGAAAAAGAAGAAGGAGACCGCGCCGACCGCGCCGCCGCCGCCGCCGGCGGCGGCGAAGAAGAAAAAGAAGAGAACGCCGCCGGCGTCGCCGGTACGAGCTGAAACGCGCTCCTCGCCGGCGCGGAAGGCCCCCGTGCCGTCGCGCCCGTCCCCGCCCGTGCGCGTGCCGTTCGTCGTGGACGCGAGCCCACCCGCCGCCGCCGCCGGCGGCGACGACGACGACGACGACGACGACGTCCTCCCCGGATCGAACATTCGACGCGTGTCGAAATCGAAAACCGGCGCCGGGACGCACGTGCGGTTCGCGTCCCCGGTGGTCGCGTCCGTCGACACACCGAACCGTCGCGGCGGTTCGTCGGAAGTCGAACCGTCGTCGCCGTTCCAAGGCGGCTTCGCGACGCCCACGGACGACGCGGCGCGGGGCGGCGTCGGCGTCCTCGCCCTCTCCCCCGAGACGCCGACGTCGGTCAGCGCCGCCGCCAAGGAGGAAAACGTCGACCCGGACGCGCTCCTCGTCGAAGGCGGCGAGCCGCGAGTGGACATCCGCCAGCTGTGCGTCGCGCCGAACGGGGTGTTATACCCGCTCACGGCGGAATATAATAACGCCGGCGCCGGCGGCGCGACGCCCGGGGAAGACGCGAGAGAAGACATCGCGTCCGCGATCGCGTTCCTCGTGAAACTGGTGCGGGGCGCGACGAAGGAGCTCCTCGGCGCTCAGGTGCGTTCTATACAAAAAGTTTTCACCCACCGCTCGGTTCGGTTTCAAAGTTTGATCGCTTCCCCTTTCAACTGACCGATGAACTATTTTTGTATGGAATGGCGCGCAGAGAGAGCTCGCGAGAGCCGCGGCGACGGACGAGCTCGAGAGCGAGAAGGAACGGAGGCGCGCGGAGAACGCCGCGAGAGCGAGCGCATCGGCGGGTTCTAGCGACTTCGACGCGCTCCTCCGCGTCGCGACGACGAACGCGCGCGCGGTGTCGCACCGCGCGGAGCACCGCGCGCTGTTGCAGGCGGTGTCCAAGGCGCGTTGTCTCTCACACTGGTTCCCATACGACCGCGTCGGCGTGGTGAACGCCGATCCTTAAGGACTTCCTCTCCCGGCGTCTCTCTCCGCCTACCCCTCGCTTTCAATCCCGACACACCTCGACGCCTTTCAACCCCATCTGACGCCTTTCAACTCCACCCCGACTTCGCTTTGTATGGACCCTCGACCCTAAGCGCGCGTCGGATTGGATCGCCGCCGTCGCGCCGCTGCTCGACGCGATTCCGCCGCACGTGCGGACGACGGATCACAGCGCGAAGAGACAGCGCGACGAGGGCGCGCGCCTGACCGTGACGCTTCGAGAGGAGCTCGCGTGCGCGCGGGGGGACGCCGCGCGCGCCAAGGAGGAGACCGCGCGCGCCAAGGAGGAAGCCGCGGCGGCGGTGGAACGCGCCAACGCCGCCGTCGATCGCGCGGAGAAGACTGAAAAAAGGCTCAGCGAGAAGACCGCGCCGCTCGACGTCGCGGTCGGCACCGCGCGCATGGACGCGATCGAAAAGAACCACGCCGGGAAGACGAAGATGACGAAGGAGATCGCGTCTCTTAAAGAGAAGGTGACGGCGCTCGAGAGGGACCTCGCGTCGGCGTCGACGGCGGCGGCGAATTGGAAAGAAAAAGCGGAGACGCTCGAGCGTCGGTACGGCGCGTTCGACGGCGTCGTGCGCGACGCGCAGGAGGCGCGAGCGCGCGCGGACGCGTGCGAGGCGCGTGCGACCGCGGCAGAGAGCCGCGAGGCGATCGCGCGCGCGTGCGCGCAAGACGCGGAGATGGCGAGAGCGACGCTCGAGGGCGAGCTCGACGCGAAGGTTCAAAACGCAGTCGCGTCCGCGGCTGTGGAGAAGGAACGCGCGCTCGAAGACGTCGTCCGCGGCTTGAAGAACGAGCTCGCGGAGGCGAAGGCGACGCGCGACCGCGCGGTCGGCCTCGCCGCCGCCGCGGAAGAGCACGAGGCGGAGGTGTACGCGGGCGAGGCGCTCAGGCTGCGGAAAGAAGCGCACGACGCGCGACGCGCGGAGGCGGCGACGCGACGCGAGTTGGAAGACCTCCGCCGCGACGCCGCCGCGTCGTCGACGGCGAAGGACGCGGCGCTCAACGACGCGCGCGGCGCGCTCGACGCCGCGCAGGGCCGCGCGCGAGCGATCGAGCGCGCGGCGAACGACGAGATCGAGACGCTGAGAGGCGCGCTGCGCGCGGCGAGGGAGGCGACGGAGATGGAGCGCGCGTCGATCAGCGTCGGCGAGGCGAAGCGCGCGCGCGAACGCGCCGAGGAGGAGCAGGTGCGCACTACGAGTACAGTGCCAACGATATTCTTTCACCCATCGGTTTTTCGGTTTCAACGTTTGATCGCGCGGGTCCCTCCCTTTCAACCAACTGACCGATGAACACTGCTGAACGGCTCTCAGCGCACGCGGCGGAAACTCGCGGAAGCGTTGACGGATCTCGAGCAGGCGCGGCGGGCCGAGGGGGAGGCGCGGGCGAGGGAGGAGGACGTCATGGCGAAGTGCGTGGAGATGATGGAGGCGAGGGACGAGCAGATTCGACGCGCGAGGGATCTGGCGGCGACGCAAATTCGCGCGGCGGAGGACGACGCGGCGAGGGACGCGCGCGTCGCTCGGAACGAGTGCTCGGACGCGAAGCGGCAGTTACGCGAGGCGGAAACCGCCGCGGAGAGTGCGTTACTCCGTGCGGAAGCCGCGGTGAACGAGGAACGACGACGACGTCTCCACGCGGAGGAGGAAGCCGCGCGTTTACGACGCGAGGCGCGGAGCGCGAAGGTGGACGCCCTGAGCCCGATCCCGACGGGTCAACGCGATCGTCGACAACACCCGCAGCCGCGGTCGCAGCAGCCGCGCGCGACGAGCGCCGCGCCGGTGGAGGGGTTCGGCGGGTACGACGACGCCGAGCGCGTGCGCAGGCAGCTCGCGGAGCTGAGAGAGCACCCCGCGGCACGAGTCGCCGCGGAGGCGTTTCACGACGTCGGCGGCGGCGGAGGCGGCGGAGGCGGCGCGTCGAGTTTTTCCCCGGAGAGCGATCGCGACGGCGAGCTCCGCGGAGACGACGCGACGCCGTCGGCGACGGTTTCAAACGGGAAAAACGCCGCCAATCCCGCGCCGTGGACGCCGGGGTACATGGGCGTCGCGTCCCCCGCGCAGAGGGCCGCGCTCGTGGACGAGCTCTGCGAGAGCATCCAGGCGTTGTGATGATCGATCGTCGTAAGTTGCCATCTACAACTATCCTTACGGTTGTAACGACACGATTCCAACAACAGAATAACAATACAGGTTCGCCGTCGACGACGGACGTTCGGTCGTCGACGCGACTCGAACGCTCTCCTCCTCCTCGCTTCACTCGCTCCCCCAGCCCCAGGACCCCTCGTCCTCGTCCCTCATCACTCTCTTGCTCACGTACCGCTTCGACGCCATCGCCTCCCTGGCTTTGATCCCCTCCGCCTTGCGCTGCCACCGCATCGTGAACGTCCACGTCTCGCTCGAGTCGCCGCCTTCGCCTAAAATTTCCACGACGAACAGCCCGCACTCGCCGAACCTCCTTCGAAACGTCCTCGTCACCGTCTCCGACCGCAGCGCCTCGCACGCGAGCACGATCCCGCCGCACGGAGACACGCACGCGATCGCCGCGCGCAGCAGCAGCGCGTTATCGCCCCTGTACCCGGCGTCCGCCCACACCACGAGCTGAGGGCCGTTCCATACAAAGCGACGTCGGGGTGGAGTACAAAGGCGTCAGAAGCGGAGTTGAAAGGCGTCGAAGGCGGGGATTGAAAGCGAGGGCTGGGCGGAGAGATGCGCCGGGACAAGTCCTTAAGGATCGGCGTTCACCACGCCAACGGGGTCGTATGGGGACCAGTGTATAGAACGCGCCTGATACCCGGGCCCGCCGGCGAGCTCCGCCAACGCGTCGTCGTCGCCCCAGTCCAGGGCTCGGATCTCGATCGCGTTCACCGCGTTCACCGCGTCTTCTTCGATCGAGCCAGCGCCGGCCAGCGCGTTAACCTGCGCCTTGATCGACTCCAGGTTTCGCGTCAGCGTCGGGATCATCAGCGGATGCTCGGTCAGCGTCACGCGCATTCCGAATCGCAACGCGAGGACGACGCCCGGGAGGCCCGCGCACCCCGCGCCGAGCTCGATCGCGCGGGGTGCGCTTCTCAAGTGGTCCTCCTCCTTCCTCCTCCCGTCGCGTGGGTCCATCTCCGCGAGCAAAAGCCGCCACTTGAGCTCATCGCGCGCGACGCCGCGCTCGAGCTCTCTCGCGAGCTGCACTCCCCCCGCCCAGAGCACGTTGCCCGTGCCGCCGTCGTCGTCGACGTCGCGCGTTTGCTCCACGACGAGCGGGACGCCGCAGAGGACGATCGGCTCGCCGTCGCCGACCGCGCGCTCGTACCCGACGCTCGTCGCGAAGTCGAACCCGTCCGCGCTGAAGTCGATCTGCATTCGACCGACGGCGGCGCGGCGCGCCCCGGGGTGGAAGCGCGTGAGATCGACGAAGCGATCGTAACTTACGCGCCCTCACGCGTTTTCGTCTCGGATGACTCAAACCGTCGCGCGCCGACTCGCGCGCCGGGCCGGGGGTGGCCGGTCGATTATTCAGGCACCCGAGGCGCAGTCCCTCGAAAAAAAGGAGAACGTTGATGAAACGTCGGACGCGCGGATAGCGGAGCACACCCAAGCGCGCGCGGCGGTTCCGACGCCGACGCCGACGCCCGCGACGCCCCGCGCGAAGTCGCACGCCGTCAACCGCGCGCGCGATGTCCGGATCGCTGCCTCCCATGGCCGGGATCGACGACGGGGTGCGTCGATCGAGAGAGATCCGTCCGTCCGCCCGCTCGTCGCGACTTTTCGCGCGACGCGCGCGCGTCCGCCCGCGGCCTCAGATCGGCGTCGGGACGGCGACGTCGCGCCGTCCGCGCGACGTCGCCGTCGCGACGCTCTCGCTCCTCTCGACGGGGGCCTTCTTCGCGCGCGAAGCGTCCACCGCGATCGCGTCGCGCGCGCCTCTCGTCCTCCCCGCTGACGCTCCCGCGTCCCCCCGTGCCGTCGTCGTCGCGCGTTCCCCCGACAGCTCCCCGCGTTCCCGGCGTCGAGGTCGCTGGCCAAATCCCCGACGCGCGTCGGCGGCGGCTCCCCCGGCTCTCCCGGCGCGGGGTACATCCCGGGAGACAACGCGTTCGTGACACTCAACACCCTCAGCGAACGGTTCCAAGTCGACGTCTTCGCGAAGGCCGCGGCCAAGGGGGGCGGCATCTTCGGCAAGAAGAAGAAAAAAGAAGCCGCCGCCGCCGCGGGGGATTTCACCGTCGAGGACATGATGACGCACAGCGCGAGCCCCATGCCGACGGCGTTGCTAAAACTCTCCAGCGACGGCGTGAGCAAGAGCGTGAAGATGAGCCCCGCGGTGCTGAAGCTCGTGACCGACGACGTGCCGCTCGTGGAGGTGTCCGCGACGCTGTCCAAACTCGTCAAGGAGACGTGCAAACGATCGGAGCTCAGGGACGAACTCTTCCTCATGGTGCTTCGAACGACGCGCGCGAACGACGACGCGCGGTCCGCGATCAGGGCGTGGGAGCTGACGCATCTCACCGCGGCGACGGTGTGCCCATCGCGCGATTTCGTCGGGTTCGTGACGGAGTACATCAACGAGTGCGCGCACGCCGATCGAAATTCGCGCGAGGTGCGAGCGCTCGCGGTGAAGGCGCTGAACGCGTTGAAGAAGACGATGAAGTGCGGGATGCGGCGGCACGCGCCGATCACGGAGGAGATCGAGGCGATCGCGAACGATCGGTTCTTGTCCACGATTGTGTTTTTCCTGGACGAGACGTTCGAGGAGCTGCCGTACACGGCGCAGGCGCGTTCTATACACTGGTCCCCATACGACCCCGTTGGCGTGGTGAACGCCGATCCTTAAGGACTTTTGCCGGCGCATCTCTCCGCCCACCCCTCGCTTTCGATCCCCGCCCTCGACGCCTTTCAACTCCGCTTCTGACGCTTTTCAACTCCACCCCGACGTCGCTTTGTATGGAACGACCCTCAGAGCACCGTGGGGGAGGCGGTGGAGACGTTGGCGGGAATCATTCGACTGAAGGAATACTCCACGTTTTCGCTCTTCACGTCGCGGAAGACGCTGCTGTCGAAAGCGTCCGCGGCGGCGAAGGAGGGCGAGGGCACGGAGGAGAGCGTGATCATCCAGGACGGCGTGCTCGTGTCTGACATTTTGTCCGACTTTCGCGAGAGCAAGTCCGACCCGTCGCTGCAGTGCCGAATCGTGTTTAAAAAACGCATGTTCCGCGACACGGACGAGGCCATCACGGAACCGATGTTCGTGAACTTGTCCTACCTCCAAGCGAAGCACGACTTCCTGGGGGGTAATTACCCGGTCGGGAACGATGACTCGATGCAACTCGCGGCGTTTCAGATCCAAGCTGAGGAAGGGAACGCGATGCGCGACGTGGACGAACTCGCGAACGCGCTCGGGAGGTTTTTACCGCGCGCGGTTTTATCCAACGCCCCGCGCGAAGAACTCGCCGCGGTGGTCATGTCCAGGCACAAACTCCTGTTGAACCACAGCAAGGACGACGCGCGGCTCGGCCTTCTCACGATGATCCGAGCGCTGCCGTACGGCGGCTCGATCTTTTTCCCGGTGAAACGGATCGAAGACCCGATCGGTTTGCTCCCCGGGAGAATTGTCCTCGGCATCAACAAACGCGGGATCCACTTCTTCCGACCGGTCCCGATGGAGTACCTCCACAGCGCGGAGCTGCGCGACATCATGCAATTTGGCTCCTCCGCGGCCGCGGTGTTCTTCAAGATGCGCGTCGCGGGGGTGTTACACATCTTCCAGTTTGACACGAAGCAAGGCGAGGACATCTGCATCGCGTTGCAGACGCACATCAACGACGTGATGACGAAGCGATACGCGGAGAAAAAGCAGAAGAACGCCGCGCACTCGTTCGGCGGCAGCGATGGGACGAAGAAGGTCCCCGCGGCGGCGATGCACGCGACGGCGGCGAGCAGCAGCTTGAAGAAGGCGTCGGACAAGGCGTTCGGCGGCGGGAAGGGGGGCGGGAGCAGCGAGGAGACGAACAAAAAGATCGACGAGCTCATCCTCGAGCGCGCGGACCTCGCGTACCAGCTGAAACAGGCGAAAGAGCAGGTCCAGGCGATGCAGGACCGCGCGGACGCGGACGCCGCGGAGCTCGCGGCGTTGAAGTCCGCGGGCGCGGCCGGCGCGGGCGCGAAAGCCGCGGGGAAGGCGGACGCGGGGAGGGTGAAGGAGCTGGAAAAAGAAAAGAAGCTCCTGGAGCAAAAACTGACGCGGATGGAAGCGAGCGCGAAAGAGGACGCCGCGAAGAGCGCGGCGAGCGCGTCGAAAGAAACCCAAGACCTTCGGAAGAAGTACGAAGCCGCAGAGATCGCCACGCGCGCGTCCGCGGAGTCGCTCGAGGAAGCGAACAGAGCGCTCGACGCGATGCGCGCAGAATACGACGCCGTCGCGGGCGATCTTCAAGAGCTCGAAACGCTGCGCGAGCTCAAGGCGGACGTGGAGCGGAAAGAGAAGCAAGCCGCGGCGATCATGAAGAACCAGACGGCGAAGATCGCGGAGCTGGAGCAGAAGTACCAAGAGGAGAGCACGCTTCGGAAGCGGTACTTTAATCAGATGGAGGACATGAAGGGGAAGATTCGCGTGTACGCGCGCACGCGGCCGCTGACGGGGAAAGAGACGAAGGAGAAACAAAACGTCGCGCTCCAAATTCCCGACGAGTTCACCGTCGAGCACCCGTGGAAAGACGAGCGGAAGAACCGGTCGTACACGTTCGATACCGTCTTCGGCGCGGAGACGCCGCAGGAACAGGTGTTCGAGGACACCAAGTACCTCGTCCAGAGCGCCTTTGACGGGTACAACGTGTGCATCTTCGCGTACGGGCAAACGGGCTCGGGGAAAACCTTTACGATTTACGGCGACGATAAGAACCCGGGGTTGACCCCGAGGGCGATCTCCGAGGTGATGAAGATCGTGTACAAGGGCGCGAAGAAGAACAAGTTCACGGTGAAGATGGAAGCGTACATGCTCGAGCTGTACCAAGACTCCGTAAACGACTTGCTCCTCGGTCCGGATAAGCAGAAGAACCCGCCAAAGTTGGACATCAAGAAGGACGCGAAAGGCTGGGTCACCGTGCAAAACGCGACGACCGTGCCCGTTTCTTCCGAGGACGATATTAAGCACGTGATCACGTCCGGTTTAAACGTGCGGAAGGTGTCGAGCACGAAGATGAACGTCGAGTCGTCGCGCTCGCACTTGATCTTCTCGCTCGTGATCGAAACCACGGACCTTCAGACGCAGGCGGTGACCAGAGGGAAGCTCTCGTTCGTGGATCTCGCCGGGAGCGAGCGCACGAAAAAGTCCGGCGCCGCGGGCGAGCAGATGAAGGAAGCGCAGGCGATCAACAAGTCCCTCAGCGCGCTCGGGAACGTCATCTCCGCGCTCGCGTCTGAGAGCGGCCACATCCCCTACCGCGACCACAAACTCACGATGCTCATGTCCGACAGTTTAGGCGGGAACGCGAAGACGCTGATGTTCGTGAACGTCTCGCCCACGGACGACAACCTCGAGGAGACGCAAAACTCGCTGACGTACGCGACGCGGGTGCGGACGATCAAGAACGACACGTCGAAGGACGTCGTGAACAAAGAGATGGCGCGTCTGAAAGCCGCGCTCGCGGCGGCGAGGGCGAAGAGCGGGGACGGGCCGGAGACGCAGGACATCGCCAACGCGAGGCAAGGCGAGCTTAAGTGATGCAGCGGTGATGTCGCGTATTATCGTAACAACTAACTTAGCTGGTGGATGTTCGAGGAGAGGCGAGAGAGGTGAATCCGTGGTGTGTTATCGTTAGGTATCACGTTCGTAGACTTGATTTGATTTGCGACGTCAAACGACGCGACGGACGACGAAACGCGCGTCGCTCTCGACTTTCTAAATTCTACGTCGTCTCCGCGTCGGGCGCTTCCTCCACCCTATTCTCCGTCCGTGCGAACGATCTCGATGACCCTCGTGTTGTAGCTCCGGCAGCTCTCGCAGGCGTGGTAGACGAAGTGAAACGGCGCGAGCGTCTCCGCGCCGCAGTCGTTGCACGCGACTTTCTGTTTCGTCTTCCCGTCGTCCTCCGACGTCGCGCGCTCCTCCGCGAGAATCGCGTCGAGCATTCGGAAATACGCGGTAAAGTCCCCTAAACTCTTCCGACACAGCGGACACGTGTAGTAGTGCTTCGTGTACGAACTGAAGCACGCGGTGTGCATGAAGTGCCCGCACGGTAAACACTTCACCGGAGTGTCGGACGTGAAAAGGAAGTCCTTGCACACCGGGCAGTCGCTCTCCATGGCCCCGCCGTCCGGGGTGTCATCCGCCTTGCCGCCCTCCCCGGCGGTGCACTTGTGCGGGCCCATCGTGAGCGACACGCACGAGTTACACTGCATGCAGTGGAAGAAGTCCTTCCCCAAACCTTTACCTCGGCGGCAGACGTTACAGAACGGGCAGTGGTACACGTCCCTGTCCTCGCTGTCGTCCCAGAAGTTACACACGGAGCAGAAATACCGCGCGACGACGACGCCGCACGCGTTGCACTCGCGCGCGCTCGGCTGTCTCTTCGAACACGCCATGCAGACCATCTCCGTCGTCGCGTACCGATCGATCGTGTGGTCCTCAGCTTCGTCGTGGCAGAACCGGCACACGTGCGCGGCGCCGCAGCACGCGGCGACGAGCCGCGCGCCTCTCGCGTAGTGCTTACACCCCATCCGTCTGATTTTTTCCGCGCTCGGAATTGGCTGGCACAACGACGCGCCGCCGCCGCCGCCGCCGCCGCCCTCCTCCTCCTCCTCCCGGAACGACGCCGCGCTCTTCGCGCCCGCGAGCGCGAGCGCGGCGGACGCGGTGTTCGGCTCGTGCCGCGGCGCCGTCGCCGCCTCCTCCGCGCCGGCGCCCGACCCTCCGACGACGCCGTCGCCGCCGGGCGTCGACGCACCCCCCCCGTCTTTCACGGCGGCGGACGCGCCCGCGCCCGCGCCCTCCTCCGCCGCGCCCCCGCCGCGTCCGTGATCGTTCGTCTCCTTCGCCTCCGCGAGCTGTTTCCGCCGCTGCTGCGCGCAGATCCACCGCGCCGCGAGGAGGTGCTGCATGAGGTACGCTTTACGTTCGGGGGCGAGCGAATCGTCGCGGGATAACGTCCGCGCCGCCTCTTCGAGCTGCTGGCGGTTCATGCGGAACATGTCGTCCCACGACGGGGTGTATCCAGTCTTGTCCGCCGCCGCCGCCGCCGCCGCCGCCGCGGCTTTCGCCCTTCGCGTCTCCGCCGTCGACTTATCTTTCGAGCTTCGCTGTTGCTGTTGCAGGTGTAAGTACTCCGCGACTTCGCCGAGTCCGTTCACCGCCGCGGCGTTCGGTTTATCCCCGCGGTGGGCGGCGGCGGCGGCGTCTCGGGGCGCCGACGAGCCCCCCGGAGCAGCCCCGGCGGCGGCGTCTCTCTCGCCCTCGCCCTCGCCCTCGCCCTCGCCCTCGCCCTTCGCGGCGGCGGCTTTCGCGTCCGCGTCGGCGACCTCTTCGCTGCTCCACCACGTCTCTAACCAGCTCGCGAACCTGAGGGTCGTTCCATACAAAGCGAAGTCGGGGTGGAGTTGAAAGGCGTCAGTCGGAGTTGAAAGGCGTCGAGGGCGGGGATCGAAAGCGAGGGGTGGGCTCAGAGTAACGCCGGCAAAAGTCCTGAAGGATCGGCGTTCACCACGCCAACGGGGTCGTATGGGAACCAGTGTATAGAACGCGCCGCGTGTTTCGGCTCGCGTCGCGCATCGACCCGATCATCGCCGCCTTCTCCTTCTCCGTGAGCGCCTTCCGCTGCCAGCTCAGAAGCGACTGAAGCACCTCCGCGCCGGTCCGTCCGATGATCAGGCCGACGAGCCGCGCTTGCTCGCTCACCGTGAAGTGCGACTCGAACAGAGGCCAGAGCTCAGCCTCCTCCATCGCGACGTGGGTTTCGAGGCACGTCCGCACCGCGACGCACGCGCCTTGGAGCCGGCGCTCCACCTCGAGCACCGCCGCGTGGTCGAGCTTCGGTTTCAAAGAGGACGCGGAAGCTTCGGACGCGCTCGGGGCGGGCTCCGACTTCGGCGCCTCAGCAGTCTTGTGCTTCACCGTCGCCTTCGTCCGCACGCTCTCCGGAGAGACGTCGCCGCCGCCGCCGCCGCCGCGCCCGCTCGCGTCCTCCACCTCCGCCACTTCCTCCAATCCCGCCGCTTGCCTGAGCTCTCGAAGGCACTGGTCCAGCTCCACGAAGAGCGCCGCCTCGTGCTCGTGATCTAACGTGTACGAGTGCGAGACGTTGTGCAGCGCTTCCTTCGCTTCGAGCGCGGGAAACACGAGCTCGTCCTCGCTCCGCGAGTGCGCGCGGTAGACGCCCCAGAAGAACACGAACCGGCCCTCGAGCGTTCGCAGCGCGCTCGCGCGATTCGTCTCATCCGCCGGCGGCGGCAGCGCGAGGACGTCCGCCTCGAGGCGTCGCAGCTCTTTCCTGAGCGCCTCGTGGAACTGAAAGATGTGGTCGATCGGACCCACCGGGGCCGGAGAGGGTTTCGCCGCGACGCCCGCGATGTCCTTCTCGGACGCGACCCTCTTCACGCGCTTCGCCGCGTGGCCTCCTCCTCCTCCGTCTTCCAGGGCGCCGTCATCGTAACCGCCCCAGCCCGCGCGTTTCCCCGTCTCGAGCCACGACGCGAGCAACGTCCGCAGCGGCCCTTGCTCCCCCGTGCTCGGTCCCCGCGCCAGCACCGGCCCCACGCTCGCGCTCGGGATGGCGCGTATGAATCTCGACACGAGATCCCTCTGCTCCGTCTCCGTGAAGTGCTTGTTAAACAGCGGCACGACGTGCGCGGCTTCCTTCAGGAGATGCTGCGCGAGCGCGGTCTTCGCCGCGTGCGCCGTCCTCGCGGCGTCTTGCACCGCCGTGAGCAACGCGTCCGGCAGTTTCGCCGCCGCCGTTTCCGTCTTCCCCGTCGCGATCCCGTCGTCGATCCCTCCTCCTCCTCCTCCTCCTCCTCCCGCACCCTCCTCCTCCTTCTCCGCCGCTCCCTCGCGGCCGCAACTGCCCATCGCGCGGTCCAGCGCCGCGGTGATCCCGTCGAACAGCGCGTCCTCCGCCTCGTGCTCGAGCTCGTACGCGTGCGCGACGTTGTTCACCCTCGCGGCGAGCGCCGGGAGCACGACGGCGTCCTCCGCGGCGACGTGCGCTCTGTACGTGGTCAGCACGAAGCTCCAGCGCGTCACGAGCTCGCGGATCATCGTCGACACGGAGACGGCGTCGTTCGCGTCGTTCGCGGTGTGCTTCGCGGTGGATGCGCTGTTCCCGGGCGAGGGCGAGGCGGGATCGTCGTCGATCATCGGGGTCGTCGGGGCGGCGTCGCGCGACGTCTCGATCGATCCCGCTGCCGCGCGCAGATCCTTCACGAGCGCCTCGAGCTCGTGCGTGAGCGCTTCCCTGAACTTGGAGTGGAACGTCTCCATCGCGGACGGCGGCGTCGCGGCCGTCGTCATCGCGTCCTCTCCTCGCCGCCCTCCCCGGGACGTCGTCGCGCGCGAAATTCGCCGAGGAGGGCGCGAATCGGTGACGAATGAATCCGCCGCGCGAGATCCCCGCAGCCTCCTCCGCGGAGAGATCGCGTCCCGCCCCCGGGGTCTTCGCGCGCGCGCGATGCCGTGGGTTCGCTTCGCACTGCCCTTCGCGTGCGCTTCTCGGACGAACGCCCCCGCGCGTGATCCGTCACGGCGCCGGGAGGTGTGCCCGCCGAGGGACCAGCGTCGAAGACGCGGTCGCCAATTGTCACGGAGAGAGCGGGTTGGTGCGGCATCACTGCCAGCGCGGCGCGGCGATCCGGTCCTGTCACTGCGCTGCTGGAAAAAACGCTTCGGCTCTTCTAGTAGCCAGAGTCTGGTCTAGTCTAGTCTATCAGCCTCCTTCGACGTATTCGCCCTCCTCCTCCTCCTCCTCCTCCTCCTCCTCCTCCTCCTCCTCCTCCTCCTCCTCCTCCTCCTCCTCCTCCTCCTCCTCCTCCTCCTCCTCCTCCTCCTCCTCCTCCTCCTCCTCCTCCTCCTCCTCCTCCTCGGCATCTTCGCCTTCAAGCCCCGCGTCGCCGCCGTTCTTCACGAGCGGCGCGACCGTGCAGCGTATGAACCGCATCGCGAGGTGCGACTTAGGACCGACCCAGTAAATCTTTTCGCACCGCCCGCAGCGCCAGTAGTCCTCCGTGGCTTCCCTGACGCCCCTCGGAACCTCCCCGGACGCCACCGCGGCGTCCACCTCCTCCTCCGTGCACCGCCGCGATACCTCGCCGTTGCACTTGGCGCATCGAGACAGCAGCCTCGATCGTTCGAACGTCAGACCGAAGTGATCGGAGACGATCGCGAGCTGTCGCCGCGGATCGTCGGCGTCGACGAGAAACGACGCCGACGCGTCTCTTCGCGCCGCCAACCGTCGGTCTCTCGTGAGAATCACGCGGTCGTCAACTCGCGCGAGCGCGAGCAGAGCGCCGTGCTCGTTCGCGACGCCCGAGGGGACGTGCTCGGCGTCGACGCCCAAGCATCGGAGCCATCGCGCGAGGCGGCCGAGCGCGCCGTCGGCGACGAATTTGTGACGACGACCGACGGCGCCGTCGCCGGCGGACGCGGGCGTCGCGCCGGCGTCCTCGGCTCTGCTTCCGACCGCGACCGGCGCGACGACCGCGGCGGCGACGCGCTCGATCACCGCGGGAAGCGCCTTGAAGACCAAATTCGCGGCGCCGGCGCCGGGATACATCGCGCCGCCTCGAAACCCCCTCGCCCTCGCGTCCATCACCGTCGGCGTCGCTCGCCGATGGCCCAGCGGCGGAACGCTCCCGGGCGGGTATCCAAACATCTCGACGCATTCTTTCGCCGTCGCGAGCCGCACGCGCCGTCGCGCGACGTTAAAGTGCGCCGCGGTCAAGTGCAAATCGACCTTATCCACGCCGCGGAGGAGAAGCACGCACGGCGAGAGCGCGTCCGGCGTTTTGGCTTTCGTCACATCAGGCGCGGACGCGGCGGAGCCTCCTCCTCCGCGGATCACCAGCGCGACCGTCTTGAGCACCGCGGCGGCGGCGACGCCGTCCCCGAGCGCGCGCGCGACGTCCGACGCGCTCGGGCCGGTGTCGCGCGGGAGCTCGATGATCGTGGGGTCGCCGCCCGCGCTCGGGAGGCGATCCCGCAGCGCGGCCGCGACGACGGAGGGGGGCAGCGGCGTCGACGCGCGAGCGTCGTCTTCTTCCTCTTCGTCTTCGTTCTCTTCGTCTTCGTTCTCTCTCGCGTCCTCGAGGTCGCGCTTCTCCGCGGCGGTCGATCCACTCTGAAGAAAAACTCCTAAGAACGCCGCCGCGGGCACCGCTCCCGCCGCGGACCCGCCGTGCGCCTCTCTCAGCAAACGCACGCACACGCGCGCGTCTTGCGCGGCGTACGCGAGCTGCGCCGCAGTCAGCGGCCGCCGCGACCAATCGCTCGTCGTCTGCGATTTGTCCAACCCTCTCCCGAGCCACGCCTCGCACGCGGCGGAGAGCCCCGGTCGGTGGCCTCTCGGGCCGCTGAGCTCCTGGAGGCACAGCGCGGACGCGACGTCGCGGACGGCGTCCGCGATGGGGCCGGGGTACGACGCCGCGAGCCGCGACAGGTCGTCGCGGAGGCCCCACCCGACCACCGTCGGCGGCGTTTTTATTAAGTGTCGTTCTATACAAAGCGATGTCGGGGTGAAGTTCAAAGGCGTCAGTTGAAGTTGAAAGGCGCCGAGGGCGGGTATTGAAAGCGTGGTGTAGGCGGAGAGACACGACGGCAAAAGTCCTTAAGGAACGGCGTTCACCACGCCAACGGGGTCGTATGGGAACCAGTGTAAGGAGAACGCACCTAACTCTCTCTCCGACGCGCCGGCGGCGGTCCGGATCCGCGGCGCCGTGAGGATCGCGCGCAGAGCCGCCGCGACCTCGACCGAGCTCGACCTCAGCGCGAGCATGTCCACGAGGACGACGCCGCGCTCGCCCGCGAGCTGCACGAGCGCGGTGGGGTTCCGCGGCGGTGGACGTTCCGTCTTCTTCCCGGCGTTTCGCGGCTGCCATTTCGCCCGCCGCCGCCCGCGCGGCGCGCTCGGCGGGTCCGGCTTCCACTCCGTGTCCAAACCGATCACCACGTCGTCTTTCAGAGCGTCGATCGCGCGGTCGAGCGTCTCGACCGCGTCCACGAGAAGGATCGACGCGGGCGGGATGTCCAGCGATAAGAACCGCGCGTCGCCGTCGCCGTCGTCGTTCGCCGGCGCCGGCGCCGGCGCCGGCGCCGGCGGCAGATCCGATCGCGTCTTCTTCATCGCGTCCTCCTCCGCGGTCAACGTCTTCATCAACGCGATCGATGCCGCGTCTTCACCCGCGAGAGCGTTCGCGACGTCCCATCGCCCCTCGCGCGCGAGCGCGCGGAGCCGCCGCTCGACGTCTGCGCCGCCCGCCTTTGGGTAATTCGAGGGTCCGTACGAGCGAACGTCGGGGAGGCGTCGAAAGGCGTCAGAAGCGGAGTCGCAAGGCGTCGCGGTGCGCGGTGTGTCGGGATCGAAAGCGAGGGACCCTGGGCGGAGAGAAACGAACGCCGGGCGAGAAAGTCCTTAAGGATCGACGTTCACCACGCGAACGCGGTCGTACGGGGACCAGTGTGAGATAGAACGAACGCGCCTTCGTCGTCGTCGCCGGCAGCCCCAGCCGCGCCAACCGCTTCCACTCCGCGCGCGTCCCCACGCCCGCGTGCGCCCTCGCGTACGCCTCCCTCGCCGCGCGATCGAGACAGCCCGCGAGCGCGTCCGCGAGGACGTCGTGCCCCGCGCGCACGAGCGACGCCAGCGCGGCGGGGGTCGCGAACGCGACGAGGTTGAAGTGTTTGACGAGGGAGACGGCGGCGGCGACGCGCGACGCGTCGGACATGTGTCCGACATTTCGTCCGACGTACCACGTCAGCGCCATGTCAGCAGCGTCGTCGTCGTCGTCGTCGTCGTCGTCGCGCGTCCGGCAGCGCGCGTCTACTAGGTCGGGAAGATCGAGGCCGACGACCGCGACGAGCCTCGCGACGGCGCGGGGTTCCATCGAGAGATTTAATAATTCGTCGTCGAAATCGTCGTCGACCGCGATCGCGTCCTCCGTCGTCTCCCCTCCGCCAGTGACGCGTTCGCGTCGCATATCCGCGCGCACGACGCGCATCACGAGCCTCGCCGCGCGCGCTCTCGCGCGCGGGCACGCCACGCGCGTCGCGTTCGCGTCCGTCGTCGCGAACGCGGCGCGCGGAGCCGGCGTCGCGAAGGTGGACAGCGCCGAGAGCATCATCTGCGTGAGAGGCGACGACGACGACGACGACGACGACGCGACGGGCGTCCTCCTCGCGAGCGACTCCGCGCACGCCACGACGAACGCGGCGGCGTTCGTCACGCTCGGCAGCAGCGCCACGAACGCGTCGCGGACGTCCGAGAACGACGTGCCTCCGGGGACGTACGCGGCGCGCAAGGCGTCGACCGCGACGGCCGGGTCGACGTCCCTCGTCGTCGCGCGATCGCGATCGCGTTCGCGATGGCGTTCGCCGTGACCGCCGACGTCGTCGCGCTCGCCGACGTCGCCGTTCGCGGCATCGCGCGTCGACGGCGGCTCGTCCGCGTCGACGGCGAGCTGAAGGAGGCGCTCGGTGACGCGCGCGACGCCCGCGCGCGCCGCCGGCGCCATGGGTGTGACGAGGAACGACCGGATCTCGGAGCTATTTATTTTTGGCGTCGCGTCGCGTTGCAGTGCAGTGTGAACGCGCTGGAAACGACGGAAACGCGTGCGGACGCGACGATAACGAACGTTTATTATTCATCATCATCAGCAGCACTCCCCCTCCGGCGGCGTCCCCGGCCCGTCCGTCTCCTCGTCATCCAGCTCCGGAACATGCTCCATCCTCCACACGATCCCCGGCCCCATGCACGCGTGCACGTGCCTGCAATCCGGCGAAACGCCGCACGCGCGAACGACGTTTTTATCCTTAAAGTCCCTGTCCTGCTCAATCTGCTTGACGCACTCGCCGGACGCGACGTCGAACACGCAGACTACGCCGTCGGCGTCGCCGGCGACGACGAACTCGCCCTTCGCGTCCACGCCGAAATCGCTCAGGTGTGGGAGCGCGCTCGCGCTTTTTATCGGCTTCCTCGCGCCCGGGAGCTTAAACGACGACAGCGTCTTCTCCGCGGCGAGGTCGAACACCTTGATCCTGCCGTCGATGGACTTTGAAACCACGCGGTCGCCGCTCTCGCCGATCACGCGCACGCAGTCGACCGCGACGCCGTCGTGCGTCACCGGCAGCGTCTTTAAGGTTTGAAAGTTTCCCCACGCGCCGCCGCCCGACGGAAACGTCCACTCCTTGACGGTGCCGTCTTGGTGCCCGGTGTACGCCCCGTCCCCATCGCGTTTCATCGCGACGCTCACCGCGTCGTGCGTCGCGAACGACCCGAGCTGCTTCTCCTCGCGCCAGTCCCACACGGTCACGACGCCGTCGCTGGTGAGCGCGGCGAGGCGTTCCGGCTTCGCCGTCGACGCCGGCGAGAGATGCAACATCTTCGATTCGGGCCCTCCTCTCATGAGCTTCACGACTCTCCCCTCCACGAGGGAGATGATCTGCACGCACGCGTCGTCGCCGCCGCCGACCGCGAGGAGGCAGTCCCCGAGCTCGTGCTTCGTGTACCCCGCGCCGTTCACGAAGCAGCACGCGGTGAGATCCCCGCCGGCGACGTGCGTCGTCTTTTCGTTTTTAAACTGCAGGGTCGTTCCATACGAGCGAACGTCAGGGTGGAGTTGAAAGGCGTCAGATGGAGTTGAAAGGCGTCGAGGACGGGGATTGAAACCGAGGGGTGGGCGGAGAGACACGCCGGGCAAAGTCCTTAAGGATCGGCGTTCACGACGCCGACGCGGTCGTATGGGGACCAGTGTATAGAACGCGCCTGCAGGACGACCGCGACGTGATCGCCAAAGTGCGCGTCGTCGTACACCGTCGCGAAGTCCCCGCCCACGGTCGCGAAGAGGTTCTTGCCGCCGTTAGGGAGGTGATCGAACTCGAGCTTCCGGACCGACTCCGCGTGCTGCTCCTTCACGATCGTCTTCGTGATGACTTTCTTCAGGAGATCCGTCTTGAGTTTCTTCAGGGACGGGCCCGCGCGCGCTTCCTCCTCCGCGCGCACGCGGCGGAGCTTCGCCTGGGGGCTGTTCATGTTTTCGTCGTTCGTTTCTTCGCCGCGAACAGACGGACGAACGAAGGGGGAGGGTCTCGCGAGCGCGCGGACGTCCGACGGCGCTCCGTGAAGTGGTCGACGCCTCCGCATCTTTTGAATCTTGCTTGCAGGTTTTTCTTCTGGATTTTTATTTGGCGCGTGGCGCGCTCCAGTCAGCGCTCGAAGCGAGCCCTAGAATTTGCCATCGATCGATCGCGACGATCCGCGGGCAGAGCGCAGCGCGCGGGTCGACGCGAACGCCGCGATGTCGCTGGCGACGCGGGAGGTCCCGCCGCCGCCGCCGCCGCCGCCGAGCGCGGGGGGCGGATACGCGGAAACGCCCAACCAAGAGCGAAGCATCGCGCTCCTTCCCGGGATCTCCCTCGCGGGCGACGCTGGGCCCGACGGAAGGCAAGGGTCCGGGTTCGTGGAGGCCGTCGGCGACCCGACCGCGGACGACGCCCTCTCGTGGCACGTGCAGAAGATCAAGGAGAGGCAGAAGGACGTGGACGGGACGGAGGAGGACGTGAAGAAGCGCGCGAGGGCGACCGTCGAGACGGCCGCCGCGGCCGCGGCCGCGGCGGCGGCGACGTCGGCGGGCGACGACGACGCGGAGAACAAAAAGACCGAGAAAGCCGACGACACCGACGACGGCGCGGAGACGATCGCGGCGCCGTTCGCGTTCGGTCCCACGCACGCGGACATCGCGATCAAGCACTACCGCGAGACCCCCGCGCCGCAGACCGCGGAGACGCGCGAGGGGCGGCCGCGGAAGCGTAAATCGCGCTGGGAAGACGCCGACGCCGCGTCCGCGTCCGCGTCCGCGGCGGCGGGCGCGTCGGCGCTCGCGCCCGGCAGCGCGCTCGCGCTCATCGGCGGTGGCGGCGCGGGGGGCGTCCCGAACGCGCAGGCGATCAAGGCGCACCTCGCGGCGATCGCGGCGAGGCACGGCGTGCAGGGAGAATTCTCTGGGAGTCTCGGCGCCGCGGAGGGCGGCCCCACGCCCGCGGACTCGGACGACCCGGAGGTGGTTCGAAGCTACGCGAAGTATAACGACTGCTGCCAGCGACTGAACGCGGGGGACTTCGTGGACGTGAGAGCGGAGCACGAGCGGTCGCCTTCGCCGCCGCCGAGGTACGACAAGTACGGAAACAGGACGAACACGCGCGACATGCGCATGCGGGACAAATTGATCGAGGAACGGAGCGACCTGATCGGATGGCTCGTGACGCGGTGCCCGCACTTGTTCCGCCCGCCGCAGGACTGGAAGCCGAGGAAGAAGACGCGCAAGATTTACTTCCCGTTGAAAGAATATCCGGGGTATAACTTCATAGGGTTAATCATCGGCCCGCGAGGGAACACGCAGAAACGGATGCAACGCGAGACGAACACGCGCATCGCGATTCGCGGAAAAGGCAGCATCAAAGAGGGCGCGTCGAGGGAGCCCGGGACGGACTACAACGAGGACGACGACTTACACGTCGTCATCACCGGTGACACGAACGAGGAGGTCGACCGCGCCGCGGCGATGGTCGAGAGCCTCATGAAGCCCGTGAACGACGACTTCAACGAGCACAAGCGCGCGCAGCTGCGCGAGCTGGCGCTCATCAACGGCACGCTGCGCGACATCGACGGCGCCGCGTGCCGCGCGTGCGGCAAACCCGGGCACAACGAGATTAACTGCCCGGAGAAAGACCTCGGGGGGTTCCGCGCGGACGTCGCGCTCGTGACGTGTAAGATTTGCGGCGACGGCGGGCACCCGACGATCGATTGCCCGATGCGGCGGAGCGGCGCCGCGGGCGCCGCCGCCGCCGCGGAGATGTCGAGCGAGTACCAGTCTTTCCTCTCCGAGCTCGGCGTGGACAAAGCCCCGGGCGGGTTAGGCGGCGGCGGGCTCGGACCGAGGCCTGGGCTGGGGCTCGGCGGTGAGCGACCGGAGAGGGTGATCGATCCCTCGAAGTGTTACGTCGGTTCGTTGCCGGAGAGGCTGTCCAACGACGAGCCGGCGATGCGCGAGATGTTCGGACGCCACGGCGCGATCGAGAAGCTCGACGTCATCCGCAACCCGGACGGCACCCCGAAGGGGTTCGCGTTTATTAAGTTTGGCGACGCGGACTCGGCGAAGCGCGCGATCGACGCGCTGCATCGCGCGCCCGTGGACGGGAGGATGATCCAGGTGAAGATTGCGGGGGATAAGAGTAACGACCGAGACCGCGCCGGCGGCGCCGCCGGCGCCGGCGGCGGGTTCAACCGACCGCCGGGCCCGCCGGCGATCATGGCCGGGATCAACGTCCCGCCGCCGCCACCGCCCTCGATAATGGCCGGCGTGAACGCCCCGCCGCCGCCGCCGCCGGGGATGGGCGGCGGCGGCGGCGGCGGCGCCGGAATACCCGGCCCGCCGGGGCTTCCGGGGATGGCGTCCGTGGCGCAGCACCGGGACCGGCCGCCGCCGGGGCCGCCGGGTCCGCCGATGACCGCCTACGGGCATCACCACCCGGGCGGGCCGCCGATGCATCACCAGATGCATCATCCGCACCATCCGCAGATGATGCCGCCGCAGCAGTACGGGCAACCGATGACGATGCACGTGCCGCCGCCGCCGGGGATGGGGATGGGGATGGGGATGGCGGGAGGGATGGGCGCGGCGCCGCCGCCGCCGCCGCCGCCGCCGTCGAACGACGCGGGGATTCCGCCGCCGCCGCCGCCCGAGATGGGGGGGATCCCGCCGCCGCCGCCCGTGGACGGCACCGCGGGGTTCCCGCCGGGGCACGCGCAGGGGTGGGGTGGGGTGACGCAGCAGGTGCCGCCGCCGCCGGGGATGGCGCAAGCGCCGCCGCCGCCGCCGGTGGATCCGGAATACGAGAGGTTCAAGCAGGAGATGGACATGGAGATGTAATAGAACGTTCGATTCACGTCCGTTACTGCTGGTCTTCACCCTAAACCCTAAAACTACTAGACTAACGATCGTCGTCCGCGCGCGCTTCCCCGCCCTCCTCTGACGGTTCCGGCGCGGTCAACAACCGAACCATCCGCGCGGCTTTCGGCCCGCGGTCGTTTCCTACGTGCGGCAATATCGCGCGCGGTTTCAACCAACGCATAAACGCCCGCAACTCCGTGAAGCTCGAGTGCTCGCTGTACGGCAGCGCGTACTGAATCAACGACCCGCGCTGCGTGCGCTTCGTCGCCCTCGCGGTCTTCGCCGCCTTCTCGAACGTCCACCCGGTCGGTTTAAACGCGATCACGGTGTCGTATCGGTTTTTGTAATACCGCAAAATCGTCTTCATCCGCGCGAACGACGTGCTGCCCATCGGGACGACGTGCAAGTTCGTCTCCGTGTCGTCCGTCGTGACGGAGTCCATGTACGTCTTATCGATCGCGTCCCCGAGCGCGTCTAAGACTTGACGCTTCTGTTTGCCGACGTAGACTTTCTTCCCGAGCGCCTTGGCGGCTTCGAAAAAGACGCGTTCTTTGCCAATCGTGTACGTACCGAAGAGGAACAAGCACTTGGGGTTAAAGTTCTCCGCTTTCACGGCGACGGCGACGGCTTTCAGAACCTCCTCCTGCGGAGGAAACGCGTGTTTCGGGTCGCAGTACGTCGTGTCCAGCATCACCGCGGGTCTCCTTTCCTGGATCCGTAAAAGACCAGGGTCAAGCGTCATCGACGCGTGGAACCGGCAATCGCCCGTCGCGAGCACCGGGCCCCCGCCGCCCGGGATGTCGTCGAACACGATCATCACCGCCCCCGGGCAGTGGTTCGCGTGCACGAACCTGCACTTCACGCCCTCCACGATGAAGTCCCTTCCGACGTCCACCGCGCGGAGTCGGGATTTCGAGATCCCCAAGCGGAGTTGGCAGAGTCGCGCCGTCGGGCGCGAGCACCAGACGACGCATCCCTCCGACGGCGTCGACCTCGTGAGCCCGGCGTAGTGGTCCGCGTGGAAGTGCGTCAAGAACCAGTTCTTACACCACCCGGAGTGGGACTTGCCGTAGCCGCGGAAGCCGTCGACGATGAACGTCGTGCCGGGGACGCGGATCCACGGCGGCGGAGGGGGGAGGTCCTGGGCCGCCGCGGGAACGTACCGCGACGACGACGGACGGGGACGGTCTTTCCTTCGCTTCGACGGCGGCGCGTCGACGTGGCGTCCGGATCCGGACGACGACGACGGAGCCGCGGAAGGCGCCACCGCCTCGCCTCGCGCGAACGCGAACACGGGGGCGACGGCGACGGCCTCGCGCGTGGGGTGCCACCCGCCGGCTCCAGTCGTCGTCGTCGTCGTCGGCGGCGGCGGCGGCGGGGAGACTTCTCGAGCCTCTATCGCCGCGCGCAACCGCTTCCTCGCGCCGAGCGTGCCCACCCCCATCGCCCGCAAGTCCTCGTCCGTCAGTCTCTCCAGCGCGTCGAACGTGAGCTTGCGCTCCACGGCGACGGGCGCGAACGACGGCTGGTCGACGGCGTGACACCACGCGGCGACGTCGTGCCATTCGCCTTCGCCGCCCTCGTCCCACGTCGCGCCGAGCGCGTCGTCGCGCGCGACTTCTTCTTCATCATCTTCGTCGCCCTCCCATCCCCCGGTCTCGTCGTCCAGGCACGCGTTGACGTGCGCGACGCGCGCGAGGGGCGTGTCCGCGAGCGAGCGAAGCGCGCGGTCGCACACGGGGCATCGCTCGTCGTCGTCGTCGTCGTCGTTTGGACGTCCGCGGTCGTCGCCGTCCCCGCCGCCCGCGGCGTCCGATTCGTCTCGGTACAGCTCCGCTACGGACGATATCACCGCGACCTCGTCGTCGTCCTCCTCCTCGTCGAGGTTTTCCTCCGGCGTCGCCTCGCCCTCGCCCTCGCCGTCCCAATCCTCGCGCGCGGTCGGCTCGTCGTCGACGACGACGTCGATGGGTTCGTTTTTGTTGGCACCCCCGAGATCCGCCGCTTCCGCGGCCGAATCCGTCCCCGCGCGGACGTTCGTGACGTCCGCGAGCGCGGGAGTCGATCCGCGCGATCCCACGACGCCATCGCGACGCGCGTTCGTCCGGCGAGGGCCCGGACGCGCGCGCGGGCGCCGCGGAAGTGAACGACAGCGGAGCGGTCAGATTCGAAAAAATCGATGACGACGCGAGTCGCGACAGCGACATCTGCATCTCGCACAACGAAAGAATCTGATGTCTGTGACGCGGCGCCTCCTAGCTAGTACCCTCTACTCGTCGTCCTCCTCCTCCTCTAACAACGACCTCCCCTGCGCCATCACCCCCCGGAACGTGCACTGATGCGCCTTCCTCTGCGCCTCGAAGAGACGCGCGGTGAGAACCTTATCCACGTCGTCGAACGCGCCGCCGCCCTCCTCCTCCCCCAATTCTCCCCCGCCGCCGCCGCCGCCGCCCCCCGGCGCCTCCCGCGGATCCGGGAACGACAGCTTCGGGCGCTGCTTCGGGCTCTTCTCCGCGGTCGCGTCCTCGTCGTCGCTGCTCTCCCACTCGCCGCCGTCCCCCGCGCCTTTCCCCGGGGACGTCCCCGGGGACGTCCCCGGACCCGCCGCCCCCCCGCCGCTCTCGATCTCTTCGAGGCGCGCGGCGACGTCGTCCAACGCGACGGCTGGCTTGGCGTCGGCGTCGGCGTTGATGGCGTTGGCGTCCGCGTCCGCGTCCGCCGCGGGGTCCTCGAAGAGCTCCCTCGGGGGCGACGCCCACGGCGTGTCCGGCTCGTCGATCTTCATCTTCGCCTGCGATGGGGAAGGGAGGGGAGGGGAGGGCGTGAGGACGACAAAGGGGGGTGGGGTCGCGGACGATCGATCGGTCGATCGACGCCTCGCTTCGACGACGGCCGGGGGCGACCGATCGTCGGGGAGGGTCCGCACCGATTTGTTCGCCTCGTTGTAGCTGAGGTTCTGCTCGTTCCACACGATGTGCTTGCGCTTCGCGGAGTCGGTCGTCGCCGCCGCCGTCGCCATCGCGGCCCTCGCGGCGCGTTCGCCTCGCGGGGCGGTCGCGCTACTCTCGGAGCGCGGATCTGGGCGTCGTTCGCTCGCGTCGGAAAGGACCCGCGGTGTGCGATGACGCGCGCGCGCGTGCGTTCGGACGCGTCGCCGCGATCTGTCCGCGCGCGTGCGTGGCGCGTGCGTACGTCGAGCGTCGTAGCGCGCGTCGCGAGTTGTGCGGCCGTCGCGTCGTCCGATATCTTGGAAAACCTACACTCAGCTACGACTCGCGTGTCGTGGCTTTTCTTCTCTTCAATATCCCCAGCGCGGGACGACGTCGGCTCGCCCAGCGATCATGTCGCCAAAGGGAACGGGAAAGCCGTTCATCGAGTGGTGCGCAGAGAACGGCGAGCGCGGTGAGAAGCTCCTGAAGGAGTACTGCGACGCGGACAGGGGGGCGGCTGAAGTGGCGAAGGGGTCGAACTACAGAGCGCTTTGGAAGTGCAGCAGTGCGGGGTGCGGGCACGAGTGGCGAGCTCAGGTAGGTACCCGCACGTTGAGCGACAGACCCCACGGGTGCCCAAAGTGCAACCCTGGAGGTAGTAATGGAGTTACCCCGACCGACAATTTCCTCACGTGGTGCGCGCAGAACGGACGGCGAGGTGCCGAGCTCCTTCGTGAATATCGCGACCCGAAGAAGTTGCCCGACGAGGTGAAGAAGGGGTCGAACTACGAGGCGCTTTGGAAGTGTGCGAAGTGCAAGCACAGGTGGCGGACGAAGATGAACAACCGCACGAGGAGGGTCAGACCCATCAGATGTCCGCAGTGCAACCCTCCTGGAGCAACGAAGCGACGCAAACAGGAATGATGGACACGCGACGAGGACGACGACGACGTTGACGTTGAAATACCGTACCCTTCACGAACGACTCGTCAAAACGCGACTGCTCTCCCTCGCGTCTCCTCCTCCTCCTCCTCCTCCTCCTCCAACCCTCCAAATCGCGACAGATCCACCGTCACGTACTCCTCCGCGGTCGCCACGCCGCTCGCGCCGCCCTTCTTATACACCCTATCCACCACGTCGAACAGGTGCGACGTCGACGAGTCCGCCTGCGACGTGAGCAGCACCGTCCCCACCGGCAGCGACCTGAGGGTGATTCCATATAAATCGTCGGTCAGTTGAAAGGCGGCGCGATCAAACGTTGAAACCGAGGGACTGGTGAAAACGAAACGTGCGCAGCAAGCCCTCGAACGCACCGTAACAACGCGGTGACGCGCGCCACGCCCTCCCCGTCCAGATGCTGCAACACCTCGTCCAACACGAGGAGGTCGCAGTCGACGCCGCCGCGCGAGGACGCGAGGTCCGCGTGCGCGAGCGCGAGCGCGAGCGCCGCGCGGCGTCGCTCGCCGCCGCTGAGCTGACGCAGGGATCGCTGCACGCGGCCGCCGGCGTCGACGTGCGCGTGGATGATCTTTTCAATCTTCTCGGCGGAGGCGGCGGACGGCGGCGCGGGCGTCGGCGGCGTCGCGGCGGCGGCGGCGGCGGCGACCTCGTCGTGTTGGACGAGGTGTTGCAGCATCTGGACGGGGAGGGCGTGGCGCGCGTCACCGCGTTGTTACGGT